TGCAGAGGTTTGCAAGGACATTTACAAATATCTCCCAGAAGTATAACTCCAGCTTAAACTGTCAAATACTGCTTTCCATTTTGTTTGTGGGACATGAATGGGTGCAAAGATATTTCACTGGATGGACAGTGGGAGGAAAGTGACCAGAAACATTCATCTACAGACACAAAACTGGCACTAGAGTGATGATTGATGGGAGAAGTGTGAGCTTGTTAGTTTTTAGTATGGGGACGTACTGCCAGGCCAGCAAGATTCCCGAAAATACATTAAGGGGAAAATGAAAAACACTTTCTCACATAACTTTCTCTCACACACAACCACACACATTCAAAAAGTTTTGTTTGGTTTCCACACCACATAACCCTCCGACTGCAGGAACCCCTCATTACAGCACCGGCTTATTATTCTGAGTAAAAAAACTTGTGTACTGCTGCAGTTTGCTGACAGTGCTGAAGGTTCAATGGTGTTTTTGTAGTGAAAGTTATATAAAGGTTTGTATGAAAGTAGTTGTAAGTCTCTCTTTGCATCTTTGCACTGTGATGGGTTAATGAGTTTGGTTTGTGTGCCTGGTGGCCAAACTTTTGTCATAAAATCCAAAGCCAAATGAAGGACAGTAAAGACACAGGCACAATCCTCCAAATTTGTTGTTTAAATCATAGAAAACAAGTTAATATTTGATAATATTCTTGAAAGTTACAAATACATATTCATTGCCAATCACAGCATAAATGTGCCAGATTTTGTTATTGGCTTTCCTCGATAATTTTTTTCGACCCCAAGTGTTTTCCATTTTTATCAATGGGAACTGGGAGCTCAAGTGGGCTTCACTAGCTTGAAGCGAGTTTTATCTTCATTGGTTTGCCTTTCTAATGGATTACCTACTGAAGAGAACTGACAGTGCTAAAGTGTCTACTGTGAGCAGCTAAATCAATACGCTCATGCTACAACATTATTACATCCAGTCTATATCACAAACCTGCACTAGGAAGGTGATTTTACAGTTAAACAAATAAACTAGTCAGCGCTCTCTCGTGGACAAACTATGTAATGTCAATACTGCTTCCAAGTTATCTCAAACATATCTGACATTTCTGTATTGCAGTTCTTTTTTTTTTTTTACTAGGACAGCATATAAGCATATACCAGTATACAGATGGGTGATAAGGAAAAACCTTCACTATCATCAGATCTCAAACTGACTGAACTCCTATGGAACATTTTGGATTGATGGATTAGAAAGTGTCTCCTCCATGATTATCAAAATGAAAAATGTCTTTTGTCTTCCATCTTGTTGTTTTTACATTTAATTTGTCACTGATCTGTATCTGAGACAAACGTCAGCTGATAATATAGGCCACACTGCATCATTATCCACTGTTAAAGGTGTCCTTGAATAAGGTACTTAACCCCCAAATGCTACCATCTGCAGCTGGCCCTCAGATAAGGCTTTGTATGTACTGGGCAGTTCCCAGGTGTGATTCTGTGTAACTATGAGCGGCTGCTGAATGAGACCATTCAGTGAACGTAAATCTAGCCTGGAAAATGAAGGTTAAAGTAAGTAATAGCTGGGAGCAATGTGGGATCCCAGTGGAGACTAGCCGATGGTGAAGCTCTGTTACCAGGTAGTGCAGGAATGGGATGTGCTCTGGATTATGAATGAGAGGATGTGGGGAGGTATTCCCTTGTGGAGGTTACAATGGGAAGAGGTGCTTCATGAATGCTAACTTTGTACATGGGAAGACTTTCACATGTTCTTTTGCCTTTATAGCAGGACGTTTAGGATGAGGGAAGCATGTAATAGGACACACGAGGGGATGGATGAGGTGTGTCTCTGTGTGTGTATTTGTGTGTGTGTGTGTGTGTGTGTGTGTGGGTGGGTGGGGGGGTGTCGTAGGATGAGGCCTGACAAATGAACAGATCACCTGTTCAAACCAATTAGCTTGCACCCCTGCAGTGAAATGAAAATAGAATACAACTGAATCTCAACTTTAGTTGACTTCAAAGGTCAGGGCTCTCTCTCATCTCTGCTACCTGAGGTGGAGACAATTAATTCTGGTGGCCTAATTTTTAGAGTCTAGGCACTGTTTAAAAGGAACAGGGGATAAACTGCACTAGACAGCAATTTCAAGTTCAGGTTTTACTGTAAGGAGGCAGAACACATTATCAAAACAAAGAACAAAATGTATAGTATGTATAGTAGTATAGAATAGTTTTATGCTCAAAAGGCAACATAAACTAAAAAGGGGGGCAATAGAAGTGTAGTATATGCAATAATAAAGAACAGTGTCCTAAACAAAGGGTTACAAAGTGCTTTAAAAGAATAAAAGTCCACATTTATCAACAGGCTTAGCAGCTTTAAGAAGAAACGCACGGTTGAGTCCCTTTATGGCCACAGCTCATGACAAACAAATTAATTACCATACTATAGCGTGATGAGAGCTGTGACATAGAATAGACAGAAACAATGAAATCATAACACAACAACAATGAAATCATAATGCAGCAGTCACAGCAGGCAGAGAAGCAAACATTGCCCATTATTTTCAGATATGAAGCCACTACCCAATGCAGGTGCTTGAATTAGATGTGTGTGTTTTCGGAGAATCTATTTCATGCAACACATGATGAACTGGCAAATAACCCGAAGAAACAATATGAGGTAAAAATAGAAATTAATATAACTTGACGTAAACAGAGGGCCACTGCAGTAGGGTGACAGCTACAAAGCAGTAAGCTGGGGATCTAAAGTTTGAAATGTGATGGAGATTAGAGCACAAAGCACTTCAATTGAATTACATAAAAAAATACAAGGATTGAACTATTGTACTACTGGAGTGCAGGACTTTTATAAATAAATGGATGTCTGTCATATTCAAACAAACCCTGAAGGAAGAGGAGGACTGCGGGCAGACACAGATGTGCATGTTGTTTGAACAATGTAAGTACATATAAGTATCGAACAAAATAGGTAAAAGGAGGATTTAAAGTCGACCATTCTGATGAAAATGGTTCTGTCACTTACAAACAGGAAGAGAGAGGCTACTACTGCTGCTGCAGCCATTACTGCTACAACTATTACTGCCCCTGTTATTATTACTGGGATCATACCGTGATGTGAGCGCTGAATAATGAATACAGACTCAGGCGAGTTTGTCACTATGACAACCATAGCTCAGACTGCCACCGGGTGCCACTTCCCATACTATTAATACCATGTCCGCCAAATGACCGGAATGAGGTCCATGTGGTACACAGCACACTATTCCAGTGAATTATGAGTTAATGGACCCAAATTCTGATTCACATCCTGCAGGGTGTTATCATAACAGCAGTGTTGGTGTTTGGCACAGAATAACTCTAAATATCATTAAGACATGTAATTCTGATCATTGTTTTTTTATATCTGTCAGTACACTTTTGACTGAGGGCAACAAACTATTTATCCAGCAACTGCAACAAAGCTGAATATACAGGTTTAAACTTATATGGTAGGTGTAAAAGCTCAATGGCAAACTAAATTCCTCATCAACAAAGGCACCTAGAAACCAAGTCACACTTGACCAGTTGAGCAAATTTGCTTGCACACAAGTAAACCATGAAGTCTTTAAATAATAAAATCATCTTTGGTTCTCAGTGAGAGCAATACGCATATTTGATAGGGTTTGTTTGGTTTTTTTCATTTTAGATGAAACAAAAATTAAAAATGATATATAACCTGAAGGAAGTTCAGCTTTGAGTTTGCATATCAGGTTGTTTGTTCAGCCTATTCCCTTGATCTATAATAAATTGGTGGAGTGCCAGAAAACATTAGTTTTCATTTGAAATATTTAGGTACATCTAGGGCTGTTGAACTAAATCAATGTTTCCCATTCAATACTTGCTTCCTCTCACTTTGGAATATAGCAAGACTATATTACTGACATTACTACCCTTATATAATGTCATAACTTTGTACTTGGACTTATAGAATTGCATGATGTGCATGTGGTAGGAGATGTTTTTATTGCTGTTTTTATTGCTGTAATAGCCCATATAACCCAAACACTGGCTGTACATGGGACCTTCTGCATTTTCTCCTACACGCTTGGAAGGCGAGTAGTATTCAGTTGGTTGCAATGTGCAACTTCACCAGAAGATGATGCCACTAAATCCTACACACTGGTCCTTTAAGAAAAGTCCTCAAAGTAAACTAATTGAATATTCTTGTGATTTTTCTTTTTTAAATCACCATCATTGTAACATACTGTCCAAATTCAACCTCTTCAGTTTAGAAAATGTTCCGTTTTTCTGTTATTAGTCTGTTTGATGGGTAGTTATGATTCTCCACCATTTTTCAGCACCACTCTGAACAAATGAGGATATCTTTATCTACTCTAAACTCTGACTTAAACATCCAACTGCGGTGGACTGCCTTTGTACAATCTGCTTTTGTCATTTACAACCATCCTTCTTACTTTTGTGACTCAGATTTTTAACTGTAATGACCTGTATGATTATATAGACTTTGAATATAATGCTGGTATGTATTTGATGGTGGTGTGATTGTAGATTTGTCTGTATAATTGTTGTGTAATGGAGTCTATGTAATGGCGTTGCATGTAAATTAATGTTGTTAGTGTTTGGTGATTATTCTGTGTGAACCTGCTTAGAGATAGGAAATGGAAATTGGCTAATAGCTAAATCATCTCTTCTCATTTCGCAGTTTTGGAGATGCTTTGACCCAGTCGTCTGGCCATCACAGTTTGGCCCTTGTCAAAGTCGCTCAAATCCTCACGCTGTCAATTTTTCTTGCATCTGACACATCAACTTGACAAAATGTCCACTTGCAGCCTAATATATCCCACCCACTGACAGGTGACATAATAATGAGATAATCCGTGTCATTCACTTCATCTGTCAGTGGTCACAATGTTATAGCTGATGGGTGTAAATAAAAATAAAATTGAGAACTGCAAAGAGAAAACACAAGCAGATATTAAACACATGTTGCTGAACCCTACCTTGACCTCAACGAAGTCCGGCTGGCCTAATGCAATGAGTTCCGAGTAGGCCTGCATTTCCTCCACGTTCCAGGACTTCACCAGAGTCAGTCTGTACACCGTCCTCTGTCTCTGGATGGACAGACGGGGGTTGGGGTTTGATGGAAAGAGTCGAAAAGTTAGGGCATAAACATGATATTGTTTTGGTTATAGTGTGTTGCATATTTTATGTAGTTCTATATCTATTACCCAATTTAATTGCATATCATAAGTGTAAACATCAAAAACAAATGCTTGGTATTGCACTAGAGATTCTAAAGGCAACAATTTTGTATAGATTAAGAAAAGAAAATTTAAATATCCAATTTAGTAAAAAAAAAAACCTCATCATCAAGGCAGTTTATTGTCACCAACATCTGTCCTCAACAGGCAACACAGCAGCTCACAGATGTCCTGTCAACCACCTACTTTCTGCATGAATTATAACAGAACAGTTAGGGGTGGGTTTGCATGTTTGCTAATGCTCCAACAACTGCTGTGTTGCAATAGATCTGCATATGTTAAGGATTTCCCAAGCCTATCTGAAGGATGATGCCCGTCAAGGCATCTTTGCACAGAATATAAACTATGTTACACCTTTTCCAATCACACTTCCAATACTTTGTTTATCCTGCATCTGAATAATACTGGAACTTCACAGCGTTGTCAGCGAGGGAACAGGGAGGGAACCTTGGATTGCATTAAAAAACATAAAGAGCAGCCAGTACCATCAATTAAGGATGGGTAAGCAACCTCATGAGCCTCTGAAGTGCTGATTTTATATTTCAAAGTTGCATTTGATCTTTCGGATTTATTCGTTGAAGATAAGCTATCCAAAATGTGTCTATCCGTGCTGCCACAATAGGTCAACACTATTACAAACATTATAGGACCTTGCCTGTATTTGCACTTCAAATGTCAGTAGGTTCAGAAAAATAAAAGATGGACCTACTTTGTGTTGTTTGTTCACTTAATTCATTAAGAAAATAATAAATATAAATAAAAAAAGTTATTAGATTGGACAATATAGATAGATATGGAATATATATAGATTTAGATTGAGGTCAAAGCCAGAAAAACTTTGCTCTGATAACTTTTTCTAGGTAAATAAAAGTACTGCTCACAGTTCAATGGTGTGGATTTAGGCTATTGTTGTTGCTGTATAGCAGAAGAAGGGGATTATTGAGAATGTGACGGAGAGGATGAAAGACAAGGAGAGACAACTAGAGGAGATGAAAGAAGGGGAACAGTGAGGACAGAGGACATGAGAAATTGATAATACAAAGAAACAAGTAAATGACAATGGGAGAAGAGAGAGCACTCTCTCCCTTTATCACTGGAAGGTTATCTATAACACTAGGTCCTTTCAGCCCAGTTGAGAAGGGGATAATTGGCCAGTGGAAGCAGGGAGGTGAGGTATTTCAAGCTCCCTCTATTCCAAATCCGACACAGAGGCAGAACTCTATCAATCCCCCAGCGCACTCAGGGAGGCCAGGTGGAAGAGAGGAGGAGAGGTGTCAAACGGAGAACAAGAGAAGGATAAGCGCTAAGGAAGGATGGAGATAGAGCCCACCATGAAATGGAGACTTAGGAATATGGAGAGAGGGGGATGGGGGTGGGAACAGAAAGAGTGTGTTTATTTTTGGAAACTGGGAGGTTGCACACAGACAAACCATATTGTCACACTGAAGCCTAGAACATATGCAAACACACAAGTAAAGGTACAACCCTCTCTAATATAATCACATTCAGCTATAATGCTAAATTACCAAATATGCTTGTAAGCACAAACGCCTCTGTTTTGGTGTTGTTTCAATAGTGTCAATACAAAACATTTGGTCAGAAAACTTCTTTGACCCAAGGGTTTGTTATGCAAATGTTAGATTTAAGATACAAAATTGATAGCATTTATAAAATATGCACTATACACTTCCAGTGCTTTCCATTTATCCATGCTTGAATATGCCAAGGGTCACTTCCTGTCCTATCACGAATATGACCATGAATTAATCTCCATTCAGCAATCATCCCACACCATGCAAGTCCATCACAACTGTAGACTACAGCTGAATACATCAGTAGTAAGACCAAAATAGTAAGAGCTCACATTTTGCTGGCTACCACTTTAAGCTACTGTCCCACTTAAGGATCAAAGGCCAAAACTGATATTTAAATTAGGACTCTTCAAATACATCAAACTTAAAAGATATTTTCCTGCTAGAAATAGATTCCAGAAAAAAAAAGCTGCATAGCACTTCCATGTAGAATATGACTGAGACCTGTGCATGCTGACAATATCAGAATACAGAGTTGTGTCATCCTCGGTATGTCTAAGATGTGGTATGCACATGAGAATGCTGAGCCTGGAAACCTTGATATAATTAGATATTTGTTTGACACCAAATTCAAAAGTAATTCTTTAGATTGATAGCTCCTCTGACAGTATTCAAAATAATGAGATGGGAGTATGCAGTGAATGTGCCAGTGAATGAGTCAGTCTCTGGTCCAGCATGACTTTGCTGTCACCCACCTGCACTAAACTGGATTAATCTTTAGTCTACTCAGAAAGTAGGAAACAAGTGATAATAACAAACCCATAATTATCAGCATCCTGAAGTAGACATGTTTGATGTCCACCAGAGAAAGTAGGTTTTTCATAAATGGTCAGAGAACTTAACCAAGTAAAGAGAATACCAAACAGGTGATTGTTCCTCATGCATTTAGTGTTTAAAAATGTCACTGCATATTACATACAGTAATTAAGTAGTCCAGATTGCTGAGGCTGTATGAGGACATATTGAAACAGTTCAGGGACCTACCACAGACTTGACACAGTGCTGACAGAAATGTAACATTGTTATTGACAATGGTAGTATTTACTGCATGGCAATTACTTAATTTAATACTTAGACATTCCTGGTTTTTTTTTACCTCACATTGATATTTGCAGTTGGCATATAGTGAAAATGGGGCTCTAGATGCAATCAGAGAGCAATGATCCATCGCCAGTGATTTGCCTGAAGCCATGCAGTCACCAACAGCCCAAGCCGAGTAGTAATGAATTTGTCCATTGTTTGCTAAAGCATTAAATAAGAGGAAGTTGGCCCATTACAGATAGGTGTAATAGAGGCTCCCTCTGAGAGCCTTCACAGCCCACATCTTTCTCAAGGTCGTTTTGCCGGTGTACCCAAGCGGCATTTCCTTCCTCACTCTGGCTTTTTAGGAAACACAGAGGGAGAATCGATTTACACAAGGGGTCTGGTGGCTGAATGCAGACTGTGATAATGGACCCTGCAAATCTCTCTCTGCTCACAAATGATAAAAAGGCCTGCAAGGTTATTGAATGCACTTTTTTGAAGTGCTATAGGGATATCTGGACACAAATCACACAATTATAAGAATGTACACCTCTGGATGTTTTCATTCTGATGGCAGCCACAGTGGTATTATGAACTCTGATGAAGCCAAACTGTTCAAAGTTTCAAGAATCAATAAAAAGCCACGCTTCCCCACTTGAGGAATGCGTTAAAAGTTTGAAGTGTTTCTATGGCAGCGTTTCTATAGCAGGAACTTTCCCCAGGGATTAGAAACCATTGGAGGAACCCGATACGTTCCCACCGCAGGGACCAGGGTCTAAATCAAGTTCCAGGGACATTATTTTACCACCAAAAAGTCCTTGCTCGGGGGGGTACTAGAAAGTTTTGGGGTGGCTTGCAGTGCTGAACATTAATGACTGGTTGAGTACTCACAGCCACCATTTTTAAATATTTGCAGTGACAAATCAGTTCATTTTTCTTCATTGTGCTTCAACACATCAATGTGAGTTACAGCAGAAAGCATACGACAGAAGGACCGACGACAAAGTCCAGGTCCAATCACATGTAAAATGCTTCAGCTGACTAATTTGTCTAATCTTTGCAGGTCTTTAGACCGTAGTGCAAACGCAGACAACAACGAAATGAAGGAACCTTTAGTTCCTTGAAAATTATTTCTGGCATCTTGTTGCCATTGCATAGTAATTTGGTAAACACATCGCAATCAATGACATCACAATCTGTGGCTTTTTTTAAATCAGGCTAGAGTTTTCATCTGCAAAACGAAAAAAAAATGAGTCTGCAGAGGAGGTAAGAATCTGCCACTTCCAACAGTCTGACAGATAGGAGATTACTTTTGTTAAAAATCACCACAACAGCGTATTTTTATTCACATTTTCCCAAGAAGTTGACTTATGTTGTCAAGCTCTTCAGCTCTGTTGTGGAACTTTAATACATTTTCAGGGCAGGGTGAGACAGAACAGTTTATAAGTGGATTCTACTATAAACAAAGTTTATTTTCTATTCAAAAGTTTAATCACAAAACATTACCTGTCACCAACCCCCCAAATCTAGGGCTGAAGAAAAATAAATTGTCTGCATGCCTAGATTTGAGTCTGATTTTTTTGTTCTTATCCGAAGTAAAAGTACATCCAACACACTGAAATAAGATTCTCGGGTGGCAAGTAGCACCCCCTGCTTATCAATGACCATATACAACACAATGTCTCAAAAAAAAGCTTTGCCTCGTCTGAACTGACAGAACAAGAAACCATGACAAAAACAGAGGTTTGTTGGTAAGAAGAACTGGAAACTCAGGCCTGTTTTCTCAGGGGTAAGGGTTGAGGGTTTGAGGGGTCAAAACTTGGAAGCTTATGCATTCTTCTCATTTTAAAGTAAAGAATGACACAGAAATGGTGAGCATTGGCAGAAAACCCCCAGGACACCATGTGGCTCCAGAGTCAATGAAACAGATGTGCTGTCAGAACCTTTTCTGTCTGCAGAGTCGTCCCCATTCATTTATTTAACACAAAAGACTATTTTAAATCTCTTTCAAACTTCACTGACAGAAATTACGTGATCAGACAGATTTACTGGACCATTTTTCTGTGTTTTTGTTTTGAAACTTCTGAATCAATATACTATTACTTATTCTTAATTTTATAGATATGCTGATTCTGAAGATAACTTGCAAATTAATGGGTTATGAGGCGGGTCAAAATGTCCAGTGGACAATTAGTTCTACACTTATTTAGACGCAAAAATATGTATCACCATTCAATGTAATTTGTGTGCTAGCAACACAGAGGCGAGGTAATGAAATAGCCTAATCAAGTTTTAGGTAATAAGCTATATTGACCTGGGAGAACACAATGCGTCGCAGGCACTAAAACAATCCCAGAGTTCATATTTACAATGATGTTGATACTTTAAATTACATAAAATGTACAGGTGACATAAACTCTATTCACTCTCAGCTCTTAAATAATAATAATAATAATAATAATAATGAATAATAGTAAAATTGTAAATTGTCACTGCCCAGCTAGTCGTCACAAGAACAGAGTGCAACAAATGCTGCACGTTTACATTTTTCATGTGAATTGGGGGCCTGATTGTGCCTGAGAATTCAAGCATGGATACACCAAACCAATTCTAATCCAAAAGGTGCTGCACAAAGCTAATTCCTGTGTTATAAAAACCTGCTGATAAAACACTATTTATCATTACGATTGTGAAGCCAACTGTGAACCTAAAATCGAATGAGCAATTTAACTTGTGGAGGAACATCTGTTTAGTCACAAAGTAAATATACCCACATCATACTGTACGTTCAATGACATGAACTGTGCATAGTTGTACAGCTTTTTGCGACTGTACAGAAATGGTTTTACCTTCTTTATACAAGCAACTTTAACTGAGCAGGCATATTCTTTTTGAGCAATGTCTTACTTCACAGTAACACAGTTCAATTTCCTGTTCACAGGCTTACTTCTCTCACCACCTGGCTGGAAACCAAACAAGCCCAGTGGGAAGCTTACCTTCTCTCCCAGGGCCCTAAGGCTGTCCAGGAAGCGTGGCCAGAAGTCTTTGAAAAGTGGCCGGTCAATCTTCTTCAGACTGTCTTTGGTGCTGGCATCCACACTAACATACAACTGAGTGACTGGCACCAGGCTCCTGGAAAATTACAGAAAATATGGAGGAGAAAAGAGGATACAAATGATCCAATTTGAGAGAGAAAGAGAATCGGATACAAAAAGTAGTGCAAAACCTTTGAACCATTCAAAGCATTTGAAAAAAAATGAACAAAAGCTAAACAAATTCGACATTCAGTAATGCTTTGCTCGAGTCTCAGTCTCCCTCAGTGTCACCAAACCATTACATATTCCACAGAACATGAGCATATTTCTGTCAGCTCTCTGAAGCAGCCCATTGTACTCCTTCAGTCTGAGAGATGGCAGAAAACATTTGGGCTGAATATAGATCTGTTGCTCAGCTCCACTCTGAATAACTTTCTTTTTTCCATCTTGATTCAATAATATACAATAAAAAACATGAAGTCGAACACTTTGTTGAGTTGTACTAAATACAAGAAATGATCTACATAAGCAGATGAAGGCAAAATGAGGAGGCGGAGAAGGAGGAAGCTGTGTAAAAACTAGGAGGGCTACTCATCAATATGAAATAAGGAAAGACATTAATGTTATTTGCATGTAACTGCACTGTGGCACAATCTGTAAGAGCAGGTGAACTCGACTGAAACAAGAAGAGCACTATCCTTTCATGTGTCAAAGGTAAAAATATATGCTGTACAAGAGGCAATTATGTAAAAATACCTAATTAATAATTAGTAATAAAAGTCAAATAAGAAATAAGGTAGAAAGTCATGAAAATCCGCTCTCTTTAATTCTGGTGAACCTTCTTCATACAAAAAAAAAATGAATAATTCCCCCTTATCAAAGCAGTACTGGAAGAGAAACTCAATAATCTGCTCAGCCAGGTGGCTCTGGCAGACAGGAACAAAAATTGGCGGATGGCTGATGTCCTTGCCTTCAACCTGCTGGAGGAGTATATGATAAGTCAGCCCGAGACAGACAAGTTATCTGAAATATCGGCTATGTCAGTATATGTCTTGATGATGACCTGCAAGGCTTATGCACAGAATGACTTTAAATCTAGAGATGTCAAAGGGCATGTAGAGTGACAGACAGCAGTTTGAACCTCTGGATATGAAAACTTAAACTCACAACAAGGAGTGTTTAACTGGTTATGAAACATTCTCAATTTAATACTGATGCCTCTCTATAACCCACATTAGCGAGAAGATATTTCTATATAGTTATTCTTAATGTCCACCACCAGGTTGGATTCCCTTTTGAAATCAATTAAATGAGGCAGTGGAAACAAGGAATTGTACCCTTGTTGCTGTTTTAACGTCGACATACAATCTCTACTGTCAGGTAGGTGAGAAACTGGCAGCACTATTCTGTAATTTTATGAAAGAGTATAACGCATTATACTTGTCACCAATATACTTCCATAGCATTTTTGCAACATTATATTTATGTGGAGAACATGCATGAAATGACAGTTCCTCCCAAATAGTTGTATTGTCACAATTTTGGATCAAATGAATATTAAATTAAAGTTCTGCCTAAGTGGCCACTAGAGAAGATATCTTTTGCAACTGCAGCCTGGATGTCAAAAGTCAAAGATAATTTACTGGAAGGGAACAACTGGTTAAATAAAATGAAAGCACATTTCAGTCTGTAACTGCTGATTTGTTGAAAATAAACAACAATGATTTGACACAATTGGCAAATTCAACCTTGAACAAACAGTGAAAAATAACCTGTGTGTTAGCTATTAATGATACAATAGATGTCTGCTTTAACATGCTGTTCTTCTTAAACGTCACACTATATACTGTACATGTGATGGAAAAATGCCTTTTTTTGACCAGGAGGACATCAGAGAGGTATACAACTACAGTGTTGTGTTGACAGAGTGCTGGATAGAAGTGATAGGGCTGGGAATAATGATATTGTGAGGCCAAATCAGTGTTTCTTCACAAAACTTTTCGTGTTAATGCTGAAAACCCTCCTGCATCTAAAGTATAAACTAAAGAAAGGGGTGTGTGTGTGTGTGTCTCTGTCTGTCTGTGAATTGTAAAGGTTTTGTACATAAAGCCATCTGAGGTGGCATTGTCTTATGCCCTTATGAATTTTTCATGCAGTTGCTGTAGGTGCACAAGGTACGTGCCTCTAGGAACTGTGCCTGTGGTGAACTCCTCTGTCAAAGAAACATGGATGCAGGACGTGGAGACCTGAACTCTTGTAGCTGGGTTATGATTTGCAATGCAGCATTTCAGAGAAGTCATACCGGGCGCTGTTCTCACAGACAGGAGAAAAAAAAAGAGCTTTTTTTGAATCAGCAGTAGGCGGTCATTAGAAAGAACACAAGATTAAACATCCAACACTGATGGTTTAAAGGGCCAGTTTATCAAAATTACTGAAAAAAAAATCTAACTTATCGGTAGTGGCATCTGGTCAGGCAGTTTGATGTTTAAGGTTTGTCTGTAATGAAACTGCTGATGGTGGCAACTGAAGTTAATGGAATTTTGTTTGTTCTGCTCAAAACGCTGACAGTTTAATTTGAAAATGTTTGATTTTTTTTTTTTTTATGATTGTTTTGAGCACAACAGACAACTCCATTCAACACCACTGCATTGGACCCCCCTTGTTAACAGACACACAGCACTCAGAACTGTAGAGTAAGAACCTTTGATCCTTCCTGCTAGGGAATAATCTCACTGCTAAGACACACTCATGCTCCCTACTTTCAAATTCATCATCCCAGACTTCAAAGAAAAGAGCTTGCGAAGGCAGGGAACAAAAATATACCACAGAAATATAATAAGCCAAAAACAGATTGGCTGAAATGAATATTTTGAGAGCAAGAAATAGTGACACATACACAAACAATATGTGTGTGTCCATTTTGTCCCTACCTGATTTCCTGTGGGAACTGTGCATTGGTGACCAGGAAACTGGAAATGTGGTGAGAGTGGAGGAGGCGGATAAAGGTGTTGATTTCGGGGTACATTATTGGCTCACCCACCAGGGACAGGGCACAGTGCTTGACTGCCAAGCCCTCCTCATACCGGTCGGGCTTCACTCCAGGGACACCTGAAGAGAGAGAGGTTTTAAAGTTGACTCCACCTTTGACTTAATGATCGTCTCCCAACGATAAATGGAGGGCTTCACATGTGGAGACATAAATCGAAGCACTATAAAGTAAAAAAAAAAACTTTGGGAAATAACAGCTTGGGGTCAGACTTTGAAGCGAGGTCAAACTGAGTAATTATATATAACCAAATAGGCCCAAGAGAGACATGTGGTGCTCATGAAAAATGAGGAGAAGAGAGTAGAAACAGTAAAAGTTTGAGCTTTGAGAATCGGGCACAGAGCCCATCTCTCTTCCACTCCCTCTGTCTTTCTTTCCACTGGGTGGTCTTGGACTCTCCCAATGTTCAGTGGAGCAGAAGACTACAGGGTGCTGTAAAAATATGCTCAGCATATGTATGAGATGACTATTATAAAGTCTAATTGACTGGCGCTACTACTGCTGTTAAACTTTAACATGAAAAAAAAACAATTTTTTTTTAAGTAAGAGTTGACAAAACAACAAAGCGTTAACTACAACCTCAGCCATAATCATAAAATGTTACTTTAAATTCAACAGATTTTCTGACTCAATAAGATTGCTTTAAAAGTGAGGAATCAAGTCTCATTAGTTATAATTCATCAAAAGAAATTCTTATTGTCCAGTCATAGAAATTCCACAATTGAATCACAACCAAGTTACAAAACAGTTAACATAAATTAAATACATCAGACAAGCAAAATTAGATTGATGAACACAACTGCCTGGGACACGACATTAAAAAACAGCAAAGGATACGATGCAAGTCTTTATTTAAATATAGAATTTGCAATTTGATCCAAGTCAAAGTGCTTTTGGGACTTGGAGGGACGTGGGGAGGTAAGGGGTGTCAAGTTAAGCAGGGAATAAACAAACAGTAAAAGCTTAGAGGAAAAAAGTTTCATACACTGCCATGGGGATTTAATGAGATATTGCTGTAGCTACAGTGGATGCCATTCAATATAAGAAAACAAGTAGTGAATCTTAACTAAATAAAACTGGACTGTTGCCGTCATAGGCTTTATAAAACGGTCTATGAATTATTGATGAGTTTGTAACATTTTGAGCACGGTTGAACTATAGAAAATCAACTGTTACTGTGTTACTTTACAACAGCTTCAGAGGCATTAAACAACCAACTATCCACCCGAACAAATCCCACTTAACTCCAGCTGAGGAGGATGGTGCATGTATGTTAAAACAAGTGTGTGAAACCTCATTAAATGTACATATATGTATATATATGTATATCTTACGGTATTATGGGAGCTCTCTTTTTCTGAAGTGGAACACCCAGATAAAAATGAATCTGTCTGCGAGGATCAAGGGCTCTATTACAAGTTGTGTAATGATGGTAACTGACTTAGAAGCTAAAGAATTGATTTAAGATAAGACAGGTATCATCAGAGACCTTCAATGTCCTCTGGACATAATCTGCATTATCTTTGGTTCAACACCAAGACACAGAGAAGATGGTTTACAGACTTCTTCTCTCTGTTTAATTTGCTTATGATGTGTGGTTTGGGAAACACACTGGGTGGTATCACTTGGTGTCTACACAATGTATTCATTAATTTGGTAAGATTAAACAAGGACGCAGTACAGAATGCATGACTGGAGCGAATCACTTTTTAAAAAAGTGCTGTTGTTGTTGTAGCCATGAGAATCACAGAACAAAATATTTTATTCATGTGTTGACTTAGCTGCAAAAGTTAGAACATCACCAGGCTTCTTCCTGATATGCCTATGTACTGCACAGTGACATACAGTTACCATATTGCCTCCAGCACACATGCAAGCCACTTAGAGCTAAGTGCCAACCATGGAGCATGTACAGTATCATATCCTAAGCAGTGATGAATGCAAAATGTATGATCAAACAAACTACTAGCCAAAAATCCAACCAACCACCACAGAGTTTCTATAAAGAAAAAAACACATCCAAGCTCATAAAACCTCATTTATGTAGTTTCACCAGATCTTTAAAACCCAATGAAACAGACTTTCACTTCCTGGAAAAGAGTGAATCTCTCCTTAAACAATATTCTTTTGGTTTATAGTTAAATGATCCCCAACAGTGTTCCATCCCACCACATCTTTCAAGTTAACAAACACAAAGAAAAGAATTTGACACAACACTTCATTGAATCCTCTAAGCCCAAAATTATTACTGGCCTCTGGGTTGGACCCCAGATCATTCTGTTCCTAGTTTAGTGATCAAGAGCACATTAATGACTTTACAGAGAGAAGGGCCTGACAAACAAAATGACAGCTGGCAGAGCAATAAACTGCATTTTATTCCACATTTAAAAGGGTGACTAATACCTTCTCATTATAAACTGCTACATGACATTTAAAACCGCTACTTGAAGAGACCTTTTAGGAAGTAGATCATCCGGTAGTCGGAGCAGAAACCAGCCTGTTTAATCACAATGTGAGTTTTCAGAGGCATTGTCTGGATAGTTCATTGCACTAGACATTATAAAAAGTATCGCTGTCATTGGTGAATGGAGTTGACAGCTGTCTAATATGATTTTATAGTGCAACTGGAAAGAACATTATACATGATAATGAAAATGTAGTCTTGCACTTTGCTCTACTATGTTTCTAATTAAACTCTGCTTCTCTTTATGTTCTGCATAAAATGTAACTGTAATCCCCTTCTGTGACAAATGTGTTTTTCTTTTACTCTAAGTGAGCAAAGAAGCAGCTTACTGTCAAGATCAGCTTGTGTGTGCTATTGTTCCATTAAAATCACATCAGGAAATTACATTTTCTATGATGACATGCATTATAATAGGACATCATGAACGCCTGCTCTGAGAATGATATTAGCTATAAAATAGCCCTTTGAAGAAGATACGTCTCAAAAGCTTTTAGCATTTGACATCTATATCTTTTCCCCAGTACAACTGCTTCTCTGTTTTATAATGGGATCAGCAGTGGGTTTGAGGTTAGAGAGACAGCCCTCTGACTGTAAGGTGTCAGGATCAAGCCCGGCCTTAAAAATAGTTTGGCTGAAGGTACAGTCATACTGTCTACTACTACTGGCTACACAATCTTTAATGTCAGTGTACTATAGACTATATTTTGTTGAACTGTGAATTTGAAAGTGCACTATAAATCCCAAAGCAAACTGCTGATACTGGCGTCTGTATGGGTTAAACCAAAGAAATCAACAATGAGCTGAACTGGAAGATCTTTGGTCTTTGCATGTGTGTATGTGTGTAGGTGTGTGTGTGTATGTGTGTATGTGTGTAGGTGTGTGTGTGTGTGTGTGTGTGTGTGTGTGTGTGTGTGTGTGTGTGTGTGTGTGTGTGTGTGTGTGTGTGTGTGTGTGTGCTGACAGGGGTCTGCATGGGCTAAATTAGTTCTGAGTCTCAATAGGCTGGACAGCCACAGTCATGTCACAAAAACCAAGTGTTAGCTTTGCAGCATACCTGTGAAATAATGAACAGGAGTCTGGACTGGGGCAATCATGTAAGAGCTTATTGTCGTACTGCAGCCAATGCTCAAAAGACTCTCAAAATCCAATACTGCTTAGAAGGAGAAAAACTTATTTATGCTGTTTGTGCATGTGTTGTTGTTAATTCTTCTTTTAATATATGGTAATAAAATATCAGTAAACCAGCAAAACAATAAAATGCAAACAACCAGAAGGAAGTAAATTAAGCTGCTGAAATGATGTCGACTGACAAAAACTTAAATCAACAAAAATAAGTTATTCATCAGGCGAAAATACCCAAAGTTCCTCAATTGTGCAGATTTTTTATATCACAGTAAACAGAATGTATTCGGCTTTTGGACTGTTGGTCAGACAAAGCAAGAAATGTGAAGTCATCACCTCAGGTTTCAGGGTGCTGAAATTATGCAAATGTATCTCAGTTTTTCTAAATTATTAATTGTTCAATTAAAAAACTTTCGAGGCTACTGTAGAAACATGTTGGTTAAACATGGCGGCTTCCATAGAAGAAGACCCATTTCTCTGTAGATTAAAACGTCTCATAATAAGCTAACAAAACACAACAATTCTTATTTCCAGGTGATTATACACTAATAAAAACAGACCTATGAATAGTATATTCCATTTCTGCCATTAGATTATCTTCAATTTTACACACTGAACCTGTAATTTATAAAAATAATAAACATTAGTTGCAGTGAAGATCTTTAAACCTAAATGCATCTGGAAAACAATTTTTTTTCCAACCAGTGCTTGCTTCCTTTAATAAATATCTGAATGTGTCACCACCGTGTTTTGACAACATTTCTCAAAACCTCTCAAAAGAAAATCTGCTTAGGGAATTCTCACAGGATGATCACTAAATTCTGTTTTCACTGAGCTTTGGGCGTCCAACCAGCCGTCATCAGCCAATACTGGTAGCAGCCAGAGAAAATAAGTCCCAAATGCCAATAGTATTAGTACAAGTAGTACAAATGGAGCCACAAATTGTTAGGACAGAGCTAATTCCTCTATTACAAACCATGACATACTCCAATTCCCACATACTGTAGCTCATTTTCTGTGGAGTCCTACGTGAGGTTACTGCTTAAATGTTGATACGTTTTGAGAAAGTGAAGGAGAGTGAAGTTGTGACAAATAAGATACAGTGGATGTGTCCACATCGGGAAATTAAATTGTGTGTGTGTGTGGGGGGGTTTGAAAAGAAATTGAAGAGGTAGTAGGGTGTGATGTCAGCATTTTGAGGAGGAAAGACCATGTGTTGTGTGTGCTATTGTATTTGTTTATTTGTACAAGAACGATTCAAAATGTATGGAGTATACCTAACAGTGTAGCTGATGAAGGGATACGTAGAAAGCCATCGGACTGCTAGGGAAACAAAGTTAGATGAAGGGATGGAACAAAAGAGATCACTCATGTTTGCAGGTGTGACCTAAAGGACAAACCTCTGAACTGTCGAATCATGTTCTGGTGCTTCTCCAAGGCATCCTGCAGGATTGTCTCAGCAGGGTCCATCTTCCAGCGCCACTCTGTGCCCACGGGGTTGGTGTGATGCCTGTTAGTGGGGCATACAGAGAATCAGATAATAACAGCAGACATACTGTAACCACTCAGTTAGGAATGATATACACTGGTTCAGTGCCTGCTGGAGCACCAAGAATCAACTGACAGCAAGTATCTCTCCAAGGCATTACTCTGATTTAGATACGCCATTAGACTGGGGTCATCTGACACAAATAACAGCATTAAAACATATTTCACTAGATTGAGAGGAGCATCCTTCTAACAAGGTGACAACATATCAAGACCAACAAAGTTTATTCACAAACTAAAAGTGAATTATGAGGGCCACACGTATTCTCACCTTATAAAACCATAAAGTGAAACAATGTATCCTACTGTTAAAAATTGCACCTCCTTTGGGTGTTAATAACACCCTCTGAGTGTCTAAGTGTGATGTCTAGGTGCAACAAGACATCCTGAGGCATCACAAATTTCAGACTGTCAGTCTGTCGCATGCATATGCACACACTCACACCACACATGCTGGCCTCACACATCAGATCTAATTCCACCTGTTGCTACAGACAGGTATATGGAGAGGGGAGCTGCAGCAATACATCTGTGCCCTGAAATTGCTTACTCCCTGTCATCCCACATAGCTGCCTCAAGAGACACTTGCATATCTGTGGTGACAGGGGAGCAGTTCACCGCAGCACATTCTGACAGCGACCTTTCAGTGCTCAACACAGTCACCTTTTCAAATGCAACTTGAGGGGAGTAAAAGGCCCAGTCCCTCGCTAATGTCATGATGAATCAGTGTCCACCTTTAGGCTTTGCAGTTATGCTAGCCATTAGTCTTCTGCACGTAAATCATTAACTTGTTTGCCGAAGCTCAATGACAGGGAGTGATCTTGACTAACGAGGTAAACAAATTTGGTTTAGACAAGGAGAAAACAAAGCATGCAGGAAATAAGCCCCAAAGGCTATTAAAACTCTGATTACCCAGCCTACATTTGGTAGGACCCACTATGGATGAAGTGACAATATGTTAAACTCTTAAAAGACATAGTCTTTACCAACTAATTAAACTGCTAATACAAAATAATAAGACAGCAGTACATAACGTCTAATGTTTAAATCTATACAATTAGTAAAGTAATGTAGCCAAATGGACACTAAAAAACACCAAAATATTAGGGGTTAGTCTCTGCTCATGTAATCCAAGATGTAGAGTGATCATTTTCGAGTCTCTGGTTGCCCCCTTAACCCTAGTAACTTTGATCAATTACAGATTAAATAAAAACCAGTGAACCAAGAGAACCTACGCTGGGTGTGAAAATAGCTAAGGACCAAACAGAACTAATTAAGAACATGTTTTCCAGCAAGGTTTTTAACACCTGTAATATGCAGTGGTTTTTAACTTCAGGTACATACCTCCAGCAGAAGACACACTTGTTAGCACAGGCAAGGCTGGGAGTAGTTTCCATGCACCGGTGGGACTCAATACCATAGAAAGTGTGCTTGTAACAGCCTCCTCTCCCACGCAACATAGACTAACAAAAAGAAACAACACATTTAAAGTGATTCATGCATTTTGTCGAAAAGTCTAATGCTTTATTGAGAAGAGTAAATTCCATTACCTTGGTCCACCGACAAAGCTTTACTCCTGAGTGACTACCAATTAGTTTGTATCCTGCACAGAAAGAGAAATAACAAGATGTGAGAAGAATAAGGCTGTCACTCAGTAAACACTTTTTTGACCCAGTACCATATAGGCCAAATTCAGCAGATGATGAACACACAGAAAAGTGGAGATTACATTTTCTTTTAGTGGTAAACCAACAAAGCCCTGCTCAACATTCAGAGTCATCTTCATTCTCCTAGTCTACTGAACATTTCCAATAAAGCAACTAGCAGCGGCTCAAGGGCACATCCACGGTAAGGAGGGGATAGCGTTTCAAACTCCCTTTCAGCACAAAAGGAGGATAAAGTGTTTCAAATTCACTTTCTACACATGTCCGCCTCTCTATCCTCTTATATTACCGCAGTGTAATACCACTGGCTGCGAACGGCCACGTTTGGGTGAGTCCTTGCACGTCTCAGTTTTTTTTTTTTCCACAAATCCTCCTCTGTGGTGTCTGTTAAAGAGAATACTTTTATCTGTATCACTTTATCTGCTGAAGAAATACCAGAACATGATATTGGGATCGTTTCTAGTCCCAAAGTTTAAAAGAGGCATCAGTCATTTAGCGGCATGAAATTTAGGTAGTAGCTTTTGATTATACTAGTAATTATTTGCTACTAACTCTACTCCACTTCACTGTAGCTGAAATATCTCATTAAAACACAGCATGAAATTTGTTCCAGAGTGTGCATGAGCTCTCATTGCTTCCACAGATCTCAAGTTTGATGCTAGATGAGTCAAAAACAAATATTATTCATCAAGGCTGTTGAGAGTATATTTGTAGAAAAGGCTGAATGTTGAAAACACTTTTTAATTTACCACCTGAATAAAAGAGATTGCCATTGATCAAGGATGTTCTTTTGATACCTATAAATGCACAAACACAACGGCACACACACACACACACACCACACAGAATTCAATCTCTTGAACACCTAATGTTTGCTGTGCCTTTTTTTCTTTGGGGCAAAAACATGCTGACCAGCATCAAATTGTTTTTCCACCTGAAAATACCTTGAGAGCACATGTCCTCCTCTAACCTCGCTCCTAGCAACTGAAGACACATACAAATATATAATCCCAGGCCAACAAGACTGTGGAAACCACGGTAAGGAATTGGACCTGCTGGCAGTTTATTTAACCATTAATGATTTTAATGTAAGCAACGTTTCCCCTCTTGTGGGTGTTAGTGGAATTGATTTCCAATGTCTTTGTGTCCTTCAATGTGTCAGTGGAGAGGATCGAGCACAAGTGAGTGGGAGGTGGATGGAGAGAAAGGAAAAGAAGAAAGGTCTCTCTATTTCCCCTTTCTCAGTTATCACTGAGAAAGTACACTATGTGCTATGAATAATTGTACTTCGATGTACAATACGTCAATATTTCTAATAGAGGAAGGAAAAATGACCAAGAGCTTCACCAGGAGGCCTCATAACAACAACAATAATAAAAGGTTCTGGAGTTCATGAGCTCAAACGTTAAATGTACAATACTAAACAGATATGCTAGCAAATAAATTCTCTATACCTTCACCTCTTATTTTCTTCTTAATGAGACAACATCGCTCTAGTTGGAAACGTACTTTAAAATGTACTACAAGGAGTTTTTAAATGGTTATAAACCAATCTCAATTCAATACGGATGCTTCTATATGACCTACATCAGCTAGAAGACTGGCTATTTCTATGTAGTTATTCTAAATGCCTGCCACTGGGTCCAATTCGGTTAGATTCCCATGAACAAGATCAAACAAGGTGGTGGAAACACTACCGCTTTTGTCCACAGAGGTCACCAGAATCAACAAAAACATTGAGACATCCTCTCTCTGCTTATTTTATTTCCCTCAGGTGATACTCTTGAGTGGAGGACAAGGGTATCACAGCTTAGAAGCTATAATTGTGTACCCAAATTGCCTGGGCACCACTGATTTTGTTTTATACAGATTAGAAGTCAGCAGGCTACCTGTAAGTCTTCAGTTGATTAGCTCTGGGGGCAAATTGAAGGTTTTAAAAGAGGTGAGAAGAGGGGTCCAAATAACCATAGAAACGATGTTTGAGTTCGGGTTAACTTTTTGTTTTAATTTAATTGAAAGCCTCTAAAGGAATTTCATCAAAGAGTTGAAAAATCTGCTTTATTTGTTTTGTTTTTCTTCCCCAGAATCTAATATGTACTAGTTTTTTTAAGTACTCAGAGAGTCAATTATTCTTAGTTAATTATCATTAGTAAATATTCTGATGCAAAATAACATTATTCCAATGTTTAGTGAAGGGCTGCACAATATTGTAAAAAAAATAATTAGTGTAATTAATAGATTAGGGTAAATTATCACAATTTTCTAGTAAAAATAAAATAGTAAAATCATGATGGTGTGACATTTGTTGGGGTCTGTAGAACATGATTTGTAAACCAGGGCAACTCTGCAGCACTACAGTGTCTCATTATAATGCTTTTTTGTAACACATTTTACCTCAATCAAAAATTTACAGCTTCTGGCATTTGGTTATTGCACGTGATCTTTGCCATTTCTACAATATTTTGATTAATTGTGTAGCCCTAGTTTAATGCCACACGTTCTTGTGAAAGCTTATTAACCTAGATATTACTGTTGTGCTCACATCTTTACAGAGACCTGCTCCATCAACATCCTGGATCAGCAATCGATGGGCAGACCGTGTTCCAAGCTGACAGAGCGTAGGACGAGGAGAGGCGGACTCGGTGTTTACTTCAATGATGCTTGGTGCTCAAACACACTCAAAGTGGATGGACATGAAGATGAAACCATATTATCATCATCATTATCTTGTTGCTTTTGTTTACATTCCCCCAGATGCAAATTAAAAAGATGCACTGCAGAATTATTTCCTGGGTGTATACGAGTATCTATATATATATATATATATATATATATATATAAACTGTATATATGGTTTATTTTACTTTATTGATTTTCTGTTGTAAAGGGGCCGCAAACGTTCATTTCGTTATACAACCTTGTGTTGTATAATAAATACATTTCCATGATGATGATTTCATGATTTAAAACTCATTTAGTGACATTGTTGCAGCAGATGTGCCAGTTTATATAGCACATAAAAATAACTAAAATAAAATTTGCTATTTATTATAGTAGACGAAATATATGTTCCTCAGTCTATTACAATGACTGTTTCAACTGGTTGTCTGCTCTCTACATTTACTCTTTACCAGCGAAAATGCACATTTCAAAGAAACTGATTTTAGGTACAGGTACACACGTTTCAGTCCCAATTGAAAATTCTACTCTCCCTTTTTGTTAAATGTGCAGCACTTTGTTAAAACTTTCTTGGGCATTACACAATAGTTCCAATAGATGTGTGACTTTTGCATCCATGTCATGCCAGAAAAGGGCTATACAGGAAACAGCCTTCCAAGACCCAATATCCTTAAAACAATGCCAAAACTTTCATCCTTCATTCTGTTATTGCAAATAAAACAAACCGTCCACGGGGGCTGACGGTTGCCAACATAAACGCCATGAAATAGGTCAACATTTGGTCAAATGAAGTGAAGTCTTGCTCACAGAGCCCTATTTATAGAGTGTTGTGTAAGCTAACACTGGGGGGGGTACTGGTTGAAAATGACTGGCTTGTGCTGTACTAATGAATAGACTAAATACAGAGAGAGTCAAATGTTTCAGACAGAGCTAACGACTCAACAACTACTAAGACTACCATATTTAATTAGAGGTAATTAGAGGTAATTAAACACCTACACACACAGAGAACATATGGACACACTACATGTACAGTAGAATGAATTTGTAAATGTAAAGTTAATTAGGACCAGAATGATGTTGTGAGACTTGAAGTGTTGTAATGTGTACACACTGCACATATGCATGGTAGTATACAATTCTGTATTTTTAAATGTATTTTAAGAATTGCTGCTAATAATCTCCATTTTTACTAAATGTAAACGTATAGTTTAGATTATATCCTGATTACATAAATCTGTTATATGCAATCCCTTACTTCCCAAGCCTGAATGTATCACCAAATAAATGTGTTTTTTTTTGTTTTGTTACAGGCATAAAAATAGGCCAGATGGAGAAGGAATTCGTCTAATGTGACGGCACATAAGTTGAACAACCAGGGTCTGAATTAAGAACTTTATGAACACTACAATGTTGACACCAGCTAAGAAAAGTTCTGTTGAGGTTTTTCGTGTGGGAGGAGAGAGGAACGAAACTAACTCTTGGGACTGCACCCTGAGGACAGGCGGAGGCAGAGAGGGTAATTGGACTGCAATGCATCATTAAATGCCATTAGACAACACACACTCCCCAGCTCCACACTTCTCGTGTAGCACTGACCAATTTCTGCAGCTGATTAACTTCAACATAATCCAACATATTGTTTCTTCCTGTGTGGTATGCTGAAGTGATTAGCATTTGAGGCTAGTGAACAGGATACTTGATGATGAATTGCAAAAAACATCTTAGGGTAACTGAGGTAAACTGAGCTTGAGAAGGGACACCAATCAGTGACTTTGATCATGAAAGTCACTTTTCAGAAAAAAAAAAGATCTAAATTGGTCTGGCAATTTGCATGTGTTCGTTGGATTTACTGCTGAAATAAAAAAAAAATGACATGACTAATAATTCATGTTTTAAAGTGAATTACAACTTTGCTGCCCTTCTGAAAAGAGCAAGGTTAAGGATATGCTGACAAGCAGCTGGTGTGCTAGGTCTGTAATGTGATTTTTTTATTGCAAAGCAGTGCTGCTAGATAATATGAATATATTATCCACAGTCACCAGTGACACCCAGCAGATGTTCTTTTGGAAATGGCTACAGTTTCACACACCAGTCAAAGATTCATAAAAGTCCACCAACAACTGTCTTTTTCCTCACCTTGCTTTGTCAGAGCTTCTCTAAGGGCAGGGGTGATCATCTCTCTTCTTTCCCCTTCATCTTCAGTCTTCTTCAATCCATTCATCTTTGATAGCTTCACCATGTGACCGTCTCCTCCACCCTCCTGTTTGCTCTGTGGCAGACAAAAAAAGAAAAGAAAAAGAAAACTTTGTCAGTGTCTATAACCACGATGGCATCAGTGAAAAATCAGGCTCAGCTGCTGTGTTGTGACTGGCATCTGATACAGCCATAAAATCATAGACTATAATGTCAGAAATTTTAAGCATCAAACAAGAAGCAAATAAATAGACACTGTAAGGCTAGCAGGCTAGAAACTGACTAATATTAATTATTATGGGAGATTGCATTGCAGATATTTAACTTAACTGACATGCATTGATAGTTATTGATCATTTTCAACTTTGTCAACCATAAATACATTTAGGAGTCAGTTGTGCATCAGTGTTGTCTCACCTCTAGCAATAAATGAACAGACGTGCAAACACAGCACTGAAGACAATACAAGTAAGATATTCCACACCGACTGCTATAGTGCCTTCGGCCAACTTCGTCAGGAACCATCCAGGTTAGCAACAAGTCATTGGATGGCATTAACTCAAAAACGTTCATGTTTCCCGCAGGAGAATGCTGACAAATTAAGACGTATGTTAGGACATTGCACGGCAACCTTCCCATTAATCACACCTGTCACCGCAATACACCTGAAGTCCTCAAATTCTGATACGGTTTAAACTGCTGCAGGACGCAAGAACAAAGCTCTGAAATGTTACAACTTAAGGTCAACAGAAACGGCACTGTACAATGACTTTTTTTCCTTTTAAACTAGACTCCAACAGTAGGACAGAGCATCCAGAAAAGCTTCAAAATCCTGTTTGAATATGCAGTAGCTGCCACGTGATTTGATGCTTAACATTTTAAGGAACTAAGTTAAAAGCAAGAAAGAAAAAAGAGCTCCTCCAAAATGTTTGATGTTAGTCAGGACTGAAGATCAAGGGTTGCGATTCAGCAGTCCTTTAATGACTCTGTGTGACATAACCATTAGCCACTGCAGGATCATCCTCCTGTACAGACAGTATAGGGGGATTTTGGTTTCAGGCCCTTCAGAGGTGTAGTGAAATGCAGTAGCTATACCACAACAGCTGGATTTCTTGATGGTAAAGCTGCTGCAACCTATTTGTTTGAAAGATTTACAACTTCCCTCAGGCCAGGATTACATTATTGCAGTAATCAACATTTGTTTGGAAATCTAAATATCTTATAGGTATGCTGTTTACAGATGCAATGGAAGATTGATTAAGTCCTGCTGGAAAAGTTGCCCAGTGCAAAGGAACAGGTATTATTTTTCAGAGAGGCGTGACCGACAAGTTGCCTTTGAGATTAACTGTGACAGTGCCACCCAATTACTGTACTGCTGCCACTGCTTCAGCTCCTCTATAGGGACCTATATGTCATCTTCTCAGCACAGCAAGGCTCATAAGGGGCTGATACTCTTTCAGCAAACGTTGACAAATGTTCGTTTGTGTGTTTTCCTGAAGAACTGAGACAGTTCACTGCTTCCTGTACAGCTTGCCGTAGGGCGCCAACCCTTGTTCATCGGCCGCACGACTCTAAATGCTATAGACATGTGCCAGTGAGTTGAAATAACAACTCTGAGAAAACAGAGGAAAATAAGCTCCCCCTGGATCTGTGCATTTGGAGTCAGTAATCTCTAGAGCATACTGTGCTTCTTTTATTTAGAAAGTTACTTTGAAAAAAAACTTTAAACCTGCAATAACTGAACATATAATCAATCAAGTTGATATGGCAAACTCGTACACAAGAAGCAACATTATCATTCGTTGAAAGTTTTGTTTCTGGCCACCTGATCATTGTCTCTTCCAACTCTTGAGGGAAATATCTGGTTCCTTAGCTGCTAAATGCTCCACTATGTTCACCAGCTAGCCACTCATTTTGTGTAATCTGCTGTTTGATGCTGATACAGTGGGTTTTTAGGGCTTTTTCTGTGGCAGCCAAAAACTATAGGAGTGAGCCAAAAAAGGTTGCAGGCCCACAGCTGTACCATGAGCTGACTGTTAAAATGAGGGAAGCGGCAGATTCACAACCGGCAAAAGGCAAAAATCTTTTTTCACAATTTTCTTGTGTAGCTGTGACATACTGCTAGTCAATTTTTATCAAAATATCTGATGTGAAAAACATACAATGAATTAAAGGCATTCTATAAAAGGTCCAGTGTGAAACATGTTGGAGGATCTACTGGCAGAAATGGAATATAATATTCGTTGGTTTGTTTTCACCTGAAAATAATTTGCATGTGTTCTCATTACTTTAGAATGAACGTGTCCTCTTCTACATGTTGAATTGTGTTTCTACAGTAGCCCAAAATAGACAAACAAAACAGGACTTTTTGCACTTTTCATGAGTTTCACAGCCACCTCAGTTTCTCCCACATGCTTAGAAGGGGAGGATGAGGTGAGTTGGTTGCAATCTGCAATCTGACCGCTACCTCTACATCCTACATACTGCTCTTTAACCTGCTTTTGGCATAAAAAAATAAAAAAAACTGAATATCACCTAGAAGAAACTAGGCTCTAACATGTGTGTGTAAATACACAGCCCATGTATTGTTCATGTGATCATAACCTCAGGTGTGTCAGCGGAAACAGATGGGCTCTTAACACCTGACAATGGTGTACTTTCACCTTCCACCTGGAAAAATCTAAACCCATGTAGCTATCTAGCAGCTCTATCTGCGCTGTGCAGCTGAGGCCATGTGTGCCCACCATTACCAAGCCTTTGCCCCAGGTACGATAAAGATTCCACACTCATGACAGCAGCAGTGGTCCCTCGGATGAGCAGCTCCTTTGTTGACAGGGGATGCTGTTAATAACTAAGCGACCGCGCTGTGTCAGAATCCTCCCACATTTCATTCCAAGGTGGAAAACGATTTGGCATTATGCTGAATGACATTTAGAAACTTCATTTATCTCTCCGCGAATTATGGCAGGGTGCTGCTTTACTTTGGGTGGTTTAAAAGGATGTTATAAGCCATGCTCTGTTGCAGTTATCAGTGCAGGTGTAGAGTAACACAAACAGTCAATCTAGGATAAGATCAGCCATCCCGAGGTGGCTCAAATAGCTGTTTAAGTGCGCCAGATTTCTAAACTGGGGGTGAAAATTCTATAGCCTGCAATTTAAACCCAAAAATGAGATAAGACTCTCAGCCAGCACAAATGTCCACTTTCACTTACTGCAACCCTGACATGCAAAATTCTGACAGCATACGCAACATGTAGCCGACAGTGCAACAATCTGTCCCTGTGGTGTTTGCGTGCAGACCTAGCGATTCATCTGGCCCCAGTCTCTGGTTCCCACTGCTTGGCTTTCACAGTCGCTCGAGAGCTCACAGACATCCAGTTATGCCCGGGCCTGTCTGGACTAACAGAACTGGGACATCTCACAGCACCGTGTTGTTCTCTGGAACTATGACACAACATGGGGCTGATGCAGACGGACAGTGCAGCGATAACACACAGAGCAAACAGGTGATCAAGGGACAAACATAAAAAGGTACATTTGGGAGAGAGAGAGTACAAAAGAGAGGTATCACGTAGGAAAAGAAAAAGAAGACTAGGGTACAAAATAAATACCCTAGCTAGATCGATACAGACCATACGAAAATAGGTTGTTTTCATATCAGATAACATACACACCGATGCTGATATGTCTGCGATAGCCCAATATTGGTCAGCCGATATATTGGCTCTAACATAATACTGGAAATAAGAAAAGCTGTAAGAAACTTAAGTCACAGATGCCTCAGTGCTGCAATAAGTTGTTGATTTTACCCTATATATTATATTCATGAACATAATGTAACATCACTGCCAACCTCCATTAACTGACACACAATTGGCATACAAAAGATTGGCCCAACACTAACTTTGAGGTAATACAACAGTCCTTTAAGTCACAGTAGCATCTTCATCTCTGCTTTCTCCCACTAAGATGAAAACATCTAGACCCAGCCCAGAAAGCTGTGCGTCAGGTTAATGATCCGTTCCACACTAATTCCTATCTGGTAACAGTCCTACAGTATGAAATGGATCAGCCTGGCAGAAAAAGAAAGCTCATAGGACAAAGTTTGGGTACCAGTGCAATTTGTGCAAAAACAATTAGAGAAACAAAGAAAACAGCTTATTATAGCTTACTGGCATTTGGCAGAAAACTAACAGGACTACAGCCAAAGACTGATATAGACTAAGGTTGGGCAATATGAGCCAATCACAGCGTGCCTGCCAATCCATCATCGGATACATTTTAAGAAAAACAGGTGTAGGAAATATGTATCATCAAGATTAGCAGTGATCTACTCATCCGCATTCCTGCCTAGCTACAAGCAACACTGACATCAATACAGACAAATCCATCTGTGCCATATTTAGCTCCAAAGCCTTCTGCTTTTTATGGGCTGGCCTTAACAAACAGGTGAGAGATGATTCGTGAAGAAAGTAGACAGCTAGTGACACTTTATTTCAGTAATTGTCGGATCAAAATCAACTCGAGGCAGATGTTTATTTGAGTGTAATGGGTTTGAGAGCATGAAATGCCACAACCAATGAAACTCTGAAAACAGCCTTAATCTCTGCACGGCCACATTCAAAAAAAAAAAATGGACTGAACAAAATCGTCTATTAATTTTTTTCCTTGTGCCCTCAGTCTGAGATAAAAACAAACCATAAAAAAACATTCCTCCATTTAAGAATACAATGGCATTTCAACAATGAATGCTACATGCTGGACACCTCTTGTGACTGAACTTTAAGAGAATATGTTCTACAGTCTGTTTACAGACCCAAGAGGATCAACACTTTTTTTTTAATGTTAATTTCCAGTATGTCCCATAGCGTGCCTGCTGGGCCAAAAACACCCAGACAATAATGTGGTAGTCACTCCTGCCCAGCTCTGGACATTGGGTTGCTTATCCACTAAAACATTGATTCCTTTAAACTGGAAGGAGCGTAAACTTGCCTGCTTCTCTAGGGATTTGTGGGTGGAGGAATACCTGGACCTACTGAACATGGAGTGGGCAGCGTGCCTGTTAAAAGACTTTGATAAAAGGACTGGAGGACCACTGGGACACTGATCATGCTGTATACAGTAACTGTATTTGTCCTTGCAGTTTAGGACTTGTGGAGTAACGCATCTCTTCTTTGTCTTATCCTCTAATTTGTCTCGTTTTAAGAGTGTATATATCTATACATATAAAAAGTACACGGTGTTGCGGGTTATTGGTGTCACCCTTGCACACCCACCTTGTTATTTGTATTTCTGCTTTGTTGTTTTTGTTTATGTCATCTTGTAACTTGATGAATGTTTTGTCTAATGATGAAAAAAAAAAAAAAAAAACTCTCAATCACAAGAGGATCAAGACTGACCACTGGACCAAAGGAACAGCCAACAAGATATGATACAAATTAGTAGCAGTGAATGTGCTGATGTTTACAGGACAGTCATTTATTGCCATAGTCCTAGAGGGTTGTATAGATGTACTAAAAATGACCAAATTGAGTGAACAAATATGATCAAACATTGCCATCACCAGTAAGAAACTATGTTAACTTTTACTTGAAGTATATAAAATCTGTTAAAGGTCTATCTTGCTGATGTTGTGCACATATAATGAATGTAAATAGCTCAGAAAGTAAAATGACAGTGTGGTGTTTAATGTCAGGCCAGTGGTTCATTCAAAGAGTTGAGCCTGCAACTAAGTCTCTGCCATCACCTAGTGGTCAAAGACATCATAACTGCAGGCTGAGATATAGCTCAAGTACAACAGAAAACTAGCTGGGAACAGGATGATCTCCAGCTCTTTGTTTTTAGTACTGCACCATATTACGCAATATTCAGCTTATTAATTGGGAGTGATATGAAACAGATATTAAACTTCTGGACCTCCGCTGACTCTACACTAAATAAGCTAACTAACATATTCCTGTCAGGGGAATTTCCTTGTTCACACTTAATTTGCAGCTTGGCTAAATACTTGTCGTCTCTTGGCAATAGCGAATGTTTAGTATACAAACTAATTACATCTTTCACTGTCTGCTCTGTGTGACCAAATTATGCAAAAACCCTAATTTGTTACCACAGACACACAGCCAAAGCATTCTGACATCCGAGTGTGATGATACCAGTCATAATTATACTTAAATCTTACAAGACAAGTTAGTATTAGAATACTTTACAGCAGGTGAAATGGAAGTCAATTGGCCATCTCAAATATAAATGGGAATATCCTCAGGGAAAAGAATGATAATAGGAACATGTAGCTTCCTCATAAAACACATAAAATCACAAACGAAAACACTTCATGCAATTTTTAAAAAGAAGTCTAGCTCCTTCCACTGAGGCAGACATAACTGAAAACTCCTATCTTCCCACTGTGACGTATAAACACATCCATGTAGGGCTTACAAAGAGGCCTGTCCAAACCTCACAGAGCTGACACACAATATACTGTAATATTTATGTCTCACTAAAGGGGGACAAGCCTGGGAGAATCTGTTGTTAAAGTCGTGTTACTTGTCCGCGTGAGACATGGGACACTGCAATCTAGCACTGGTAGCACAATATTAACTTTGTCATTATGGCATTATGCTTTCATGAGAACAAAATGTAGAAACCAGAGGCTCCAATCAACTGCAGCATTATCTTGGCCATTCCCTTGAGTTACTGAAAAACACACAACAATATTGTCACACGCAGAAGAGAACACGTTCACTCACTTGTTTCTTTAGAGCCAAAAACAGGCTAACAGGAGGCAAATCCTTCTCAGACGTTTGAGTTGAAAAACTTCAAAAGCTATTCATATTTTCATTGTAGCCACAATGAAACAATATTTTGCGTGTATCTGGTTGTTATGACTTGACATTTCCAGTTGAGGGAGGAGTTTGGAGCAGGACATAATAATGCAGGGAGAGATCATCATCAAGTGGCCAGTGGTATAAAGTTATGAGACATTCATTATATCCATCAGAAAAGGCTCATTGTTCAATGTTTTAGCTACAAATACTACTACGTTTTACAGTAAAGAGCAGAAATGAAAATGTAATGATCTATAAGAACATCAAAAATGAGTATTGCTGGCATTGTTGTTAAAAAGTATCAGGTGTTTTTCAACCTGGACTTCATTTCCCCATGTTTTTGTGTCAAAATGACTAATGGATACAACACATTTTGAATTTGTTCCAGTATTGAGTGAGAGTGCTGCAGCCTGTAGCTGTGAAACAGGCTTCAACGTAATCCTTGAGGGCTATCGCGCACCGTACGTCCATTAAAAGTGCTTGTTTTTGCTACGGATGGGCTCAGTTTATTATAAATGACTGGCAAAACAAGTGTACAGAAAAATGACAGGTTTTCTGTACCTTTCCCTTGATTTGCTGCGTCTCTAACCAGGTCTCGCTCTAGGAGAAGTCTTGTTTGAAAATCTTGGGAGAGAAGAGGTGACGTGTTGCAGGAGACAACAGTGAACCCGTGAGTGTAGTAACACCACCTGGGTGGAGTTGGTGGTACAGAAAGAGTAGCTAGGGTTATGTAAACAATGACATGGCTGAATATTTAGCTGATTTCGACAATGTGGATGAGGCAGATTGCTGCCAGGCCAAGCACAGCTAAATAAGAAAATGCAGGCAGAGGGCAGATACAGACACCACCGTACACCACTAGTGGGTCATAAGTGATGATGGATTGCTTTTAAAAAATCCTACTCACTCTGCCTTTAAACAGGTGCATTAAAAAAAAAAGAAAATCCCTCCCTTCCTCTCTGGAAGGCTTTCATGGCACCCATGGGTGTTTTTCTTTTTCCAATTTATTTGATTTTAGTATGTAAGATGGAAATATCGAGCAGCTAATCTAAAAAGTACTGATCTGTACAATAAATACATTTTTTCATTCTCTCCCTCTCACAGCTCACCTTCTTATCCTTGCACTACAGCCTATATAGGGCTGATAACGTCTCTTCCTTTTCGTTTTTTCTGCTTTTCTTGACTCACTGATTCCTCACAAGTCTGTGAGGTGGGCGTCCTCGCTCTTACGCAAGCCTCCGCTTCTCGCCTGCCGGGGGTCTGGTGTCTATCAACCCATCTGCCACTTCTCCTTCAATGACAGCACTTTTCCTCCTTACTAAACACACTTACATTGGACTAAGGTGGTGGAAGCTTAACGCCACGATGGTGTCCGCTTATAGACGTTAACGCTGAAACGCTGAAAATAAACCTGCTGGATGATGATTGGCACTCCAGTCTGAAATGATTCAACAACTACCTGCCTGCGATATTGTAAAGCAGGCAGCTAAGTACTGTATATCTAACTCGTGTTACAAGTACAGTATACATTATTGAATCCTCGTTTTTTCTTATTTGCCTGAATGCAGAAGTAGTTTTCTGAAGTTAGAGAAGGAAGGAAAGTGGTTTTTGTACAACATCATCAGATAACTGAGCTGTAAATAATATGGCCACTTGTGTGGTGCACTGAAAAAGACATGTATATATATTACTAAAAGTAGTGTCACCATGCTGGTGGACAGAGTCTGACCTTCGCTTTCTTGACACTGCTCATGATGTTGCCCAGATCCTCCATGTCAACCACTGAACCTGATTTTTTCTCATCTTGCAGGCCAGACTCCTCCTCATCACTGCTGGACTCCATCAGATCCTCCTGGCACAAGAAAGAAAAGAGAAGAAACCCAAAGACGATCAAGGACATGGTGACACAGATGATCGAGTGGAAAATGTAAATGATCCTCTAACGTAGAGAGCTTCAAGTTAAAACCCATAACCAATTAAAGATTTGTACTAAAATAATGAGATGAGGGAGACCATATGGAACACATTTATTGTACATTGTTATCTCCTCTTGGGCCGCCTAATTAAATAAGAAAAGCCATATGCGTGTTTATGGCGTTTCAGAGGATTTATCACAATGTTGGCGCTTCGGTAGGATGGAGTGCACGAGCGGTACAGTGGGTAGATAAATCACGGTGATGATCCCCTCGCCACGGTTTTCAGCTACTCTTGGTTCCGGTTGAATGTCACCTCTGCTGAGTGCACTGAGTGTTACAGACAGAGGGGAAGAAGTCTCAGCTAGATTTGGCTCCGAGGTGCCTGCTACCATGACAACTGGTCATCTGTGTGTGCGGTGATGCGTATGAAAGCTGTTTGTGTGTGTGTGTGTGTGTGTTGTGCGTGTGTGTTCGTGTGCGCATATATGTCTGTGCGCATATATGTCTGTGTTTGTACTTTCCTTCTTGTGAAACGTGTAACTTCAATTTTGATTGGTGGAAGAAAAGCGCTATTTTCATATTCTGAGATGATGGACAGTGCTGACAGTGATGAAGCCATGCAGAACATTTATAACACCATGCTTACCCTTGAAAATGCATCAGTGCTACCAAATAAGGATCTGATAAACTGAGGGTAACACTCCTCTTCCTGAGTCCCTCTCTGATTTTAATCACATTGTTGAAGTGCAACATGAGGCCATTAGCCCACCGAGTCCACTTCAGCTTCCTGTGACTTTGTGTGTGCCTTCATCATACACCAGCTACACGTGTTTTCAGCCTTTTTTCCTTTTATATTCACCAGTTATCACCCGCTTACTTGTATTCTGAGTCAAGGGGGCCAAGATGGAGTCTATCTACAGTTCACTGGGCAAAAGTAAGGTTAAAAGTTGACTGATTTGATGTTGCCTGGTGAATGAATTAAACAATTTTGTTCAAAGCTCAATGAGAAGCCAATCAAACATTCAAACATAAACATAAAGACAAAAAGAGCACTTTAGACTCTCTGTCCAGAAAGAACATGGAAAGATATCTCACTGACATCCCCAGTTTTACAAAGTCTTCCTGTACACCTGACGTGTTCAATCAGGGGATGGGAGTATACAACAAAATGTCACTGCGCGAGCAAGCAAAACATGTCATTGTGTCTCTGGTGAATGATTCATGCAGCTCTTGAGCCAGCTAGTGACAACATGTACAACTAGTATAAGTTTCATCAGACGTACGATGGAGCAGTTATGTATTTTACATGTTTAATCGCCCCCCGTCAAATTGATCACAACACTGTCAGAACATTGTATTTATGTTTAGTTAAAGCTCCATTAAATAATCTTTCTACCTTTAAATAATAATAATCATTATTTTTATGCTACACTGACTTGTAATAAGGTGAATGGTGCCCCTTACATTCCCACTATGCACTGCGTACGCCTGTTCTCACACTACGTAACTTTGGTCTCTGGGTCGGGACACGTGGGTAACACTTTACAGCACTAAGTCACACACTACCAAAAATGTCAATTATGGAGAAATTGTTTTCTGGTTAAGCTTTCAGTCCCAAGAAACTCTTGAAATCTAAAAGGTTTCAATTTAAAGGCAGTTTTTATCGCCTTTTACTAGTAGTTACAGTTCTTTTTAACCACTAAGTTAACCTACTCCCCCACAAGTCAGTAAACTGTTCTCAGTGTGCCATTATAAACACGGCTATAAACTCATTACCTCAGAGCTGTTATTCTGCTGAGCTTCCTCCTCCTCCTCCTCCTCCTGCTCATGTCCCTCTTTCCTCTTGTTCTTACAGGAGCCTCCAGTCTTACAGTTCCCACTGCAAGTCTTCTTCTCACCCTTCGCCAGAGCCTGAAGGCGGTTCAGGAACTTGACCTTCCAGGCCAGGAAATCTGCCTGGATGCTGCCATTACGACTCTTCACCACATTGCAGTCTCCCTCTCCCCTGGTCATGATTCGCATGCCACTCAGCATCCACAGCCATTTGTCCACGTTTTTACCCACCTGGTGAGGCAAAAAGAAAACTGGGTCAGAGTTTAAACATATAAAGTCCGGCTGTTTGTAATAGTAACTGAATGCAACCTTGTAGCTTTTAATATTCTTTGAATAACTAATTGTAAAGCACTTTATCAAGCTGTGTTATTATTCTGATAGAAGTTGATATGGAAGCCTTTTCTTACTGTATTATAGTGGCCAACATAGACAGAGTTGCCAAGACCGAACACTGCATATCTGAGGCCTTTGAGGTAGGTCTTCCCGTATCTGAAGTCAGTGGACGCCTCCTCCAACCACTTGCAGAACCACTCAGCGTTCTCTGTGGGCTGCCCGTCGGTGTAGGTGGCCACAAGAAAGACGCAGACCGCCTTGTTGGTGCACTGAATGGAGATAAACAGACAAAGAGAGACAGTAAAAAAAGTACAATTAAACATTTCATTAAACACACAGAAGAGGTATTTGTAAATGCAGGTGTCTTGATCTAAAACTTTTCCTTGGATACTTTGAACAACAGTAGTAAAACCTTTGTTAATGTGGACTTGGAGAACAAATGTATCTAGTAATCGATTTCTTACAACTACAAAGCAGAATGGACTTGTTTACACTGACGGGAAGCCATAGCCAAACAAAGACAAATCTTGGAAAGCACTACAGCACCGTGAACAATTCGCTCCGGGCAAGACAACTCGCCAATATGTTTTCAGCAAACACACAACTGATTCTGCCTCCAAGACTTGAAATTTCATGCAACAGACAGAAGAAAATAAATCCAGCTGCAGTTTCAATGTTCAAGTTTTAAGGCCAAAATTAAATCCACAAGCAGCAACAAGCGGGTTACTTCGGCCAGTTTAATTCTGTTTAAAAGGAGTGAGACCAATCACATCACAAAGTCGGCAGCAGTTCAGTCATCGTGCACACAAAGCCATTCATAGTAGAATAATGTGTGTGTATACTAAATTTGGTATAAAAATCGAGAAATGTTTTATATTTTGGGCTTTAATTACAGCGCCACCAAAAGGCCGATGGGAATCATATTTTTTGTGAAGCATGTGAACATCATTGAATTTCTAGTTATGGTGCAACGCCTCAAGTCTCTGGTTCGTTCCAGCGCAAAGAAAATTGAGAAAGATTAGATAATGAAATGGCAGATAATGATTAATAGACCACATTTGATTTCAGAAATTGGTTGAAACATTCTTCCCGAGCCCGAGAACCAAGATTGGTTGAATTCTTGGCCACCAGGTTTTCAGATACATATTTGTGGCGCCCCCTATAGGTCAGGCTTAAATTGCTTCAGTAGACCTATTTTAACAAATCGCCCCCAGGGATCAATAAAGTATGTCTGATTCTGATATTTCCAATCTGTCTGCAGATATCTACCGAGCTTTATGACTGGACAAATTGTTAATGAGTTATGTCTAATGTTCTGCAAGGCCTGCTCAACTGTAGTGCCTCAATGCTGTATACCAAATTTAGTATTAATACAATAGAAATTTAAAAAAAGGACATGTTTTTGTAGAGAACACTGAAGGGAACTTGTGTGTCACATTTCAAGTTAAAAGGGACATACTGGGTGGGTGTCCCTTTGTAATGTGAATTAATATAGCGCCACCGTCTGGCCAATTACAGTCATGTCTCTTGTGAAGCACATGCACATCATTTCACAGCAGTTATTGGGCTAAGTTTCATGCCTCTGGCTCGCTCCAGCTCACAGCAATTTGAGCCACATCAGCAGACGACAAATGATAATAAACCCTAATTAAATCTAAAGTAAATGCACATCGCCTCCTTTGGCTCTGTGGAAATAAACAGAACACTTCAACTTGTTGAAACAAACCACGTCTTCTTGACTGACGGCTGGCCAGTAAGTCAGTGCACTGAAGAGCAGCTGCATCAAGGGAGCGACTGGTGCCTGCGGTCGTTTCTCTTGTGGAGAGTTTCCATCACTAAAAACTGTATCACTGTCCAATTGAATAAATAGTTCTCCCCTGCTGTGTACCAGCCAACCAATCTCCTATTCATCTTTCACTGCAGTACACTGCGCCTGTGCCCACAAAATAAAAAGCCAACAGTGATGAAAATAATCCATCTTTCTTCAGCTGAGCCAGATTTGTGTAACACATTCGTCCTCTGTGACGGCCGTTTGAAGACTCAAATCAGTGAGAAATGAAGGAATGGCTGAGCTGGAACATTAGAGAACTTGAGGCTCACTCTACTGTTTGTTGTCAAGCTTTAACCAAAAAAAAAAAAAGAGTTATGATTTATTTTACTTTGATTAATTCTGTTCTAATGAAGCCTCGCCTGTAAGTACACGCTGCCAGGTCTGATGTGATTGAATTCACTTTCTAGAGATTTGTTTAAACACCCTGAAGCAACTTCTTGGTACAGTCTATACAGCATGCTTTTATCCTCTTAACACAGCTGCAACAATTAACTGGTGCATTAATTAATCACTTAAATCATACAATGTCAAAATGTAAGTTTACACACTCAGGAGTTGGCTGTTAGTGGTGTAGGTTCTTGTTTAAGGACACTATCTTAAACCCACATCCTCATGTTCAGGGCCATTTATTTCTTCTCTTTGAATCGGACTTACCTCATCAGCAAGTTGATCGTCTGGATCGTAGTCCTTCATGTCAATCACCTCTGCTGGTATACCCGAGGCCTTCACCTCCTCTGACAGCTCTTTTGCAAATGCCTGAACAAATGAAGAGTCTTAGTCGACGCTTATCATCTTATCGCTGCCAGTCTGTCCAACCTTGAACTCATCAATCGTGACTGGAATTTCCCTTTTTTGTGAAACACTGATTTACAAAGGTTTGCACATGGTTATGGTTTACTTTACTGGTTCCACTTGAAGCTCTGAATTATGTCGACACTGTACCAGAGATTCATTGTGGATGCTATTTTGGAGCGGTGGTATCGTTAGAGGTGTGGTTGCACTTGATTATGGAGCTTTTTGTGTTTTTGTCTGCTCCTGTGCCTACATTTAATTATTACTTTTACCAGGTTTCAGCACCAATATCTGTACCTTCGCTGTTCCGGTTTGTGAGCCGTAGAAGATTTTAACCCCTGACACATGAACTACAGCGTCCCTGTCATCCTTCTTCACAGCTTTGTAGACCAACGTGCCGACGTCTTTGGGGAAGCTTTTCTAAAACACACACACACACAGAGAAAAGACAATTAAGGCGAAGACAAATACACAGACAGGTGATCCTGCAATGTGCAGCTTTAAAGTGAAAACCAGCAGCCACAGACAACACTGTTAGAAAGAGGACAACGTGTCTGCAACCACACATGAGTGAAGATGAGACATCAACAAGGGACAATTCACCTTCTTCAGTGCCATCTTCAGTGAGAGCCAGATGCCAAACACCAGTGCAGCAGCTGAATACAGATACAGCCTGTTGCTCCATACCGACATTAAGTAGCTCTCACTGGGACTGTGTGCATTCTGGGACACTGGAGGGAGAAACACACACACACACACACACACACACACACACACACACACACACACACACACACACACACACACACACACACACACACACACACACACACACACATATAGACATCCTCTGTTTACACACCAGTGAGACGGTGGCCAGATCTAAAAGCATGACGTCAATTCAAGGTCCAGTTCCAGTTCATTCAAAAAAACTAATAAAATAAAACTCACCTTTACTGTCCGAGGTAGACACGCCACATACGAAGAGAGAGATGAGTACGAATAAATTCGGCATCGCTGCAAGTGGCTACCTTATATTAAAATTACACAGACCTCTTCAGCTGGTACTGTGCGCCACCATGTTGTTTGGCCGCTGAGCATGCTGGGAAGTGTAGTTTATTGAGGTTACGCTCGAACGTGACTTTCAAAGCAAAAGTATGGTGCCAAAGACCCGTGCCCAGTGCGATACCAAACGGGGTATCATGTATTAGGCCAATGTAATGATAATTTTATGTCCATGGTTTTAAAGACGTTAATTAATTTAAAGTTGTATTTTGGATTTATAAGTGTTCCTACGTCTTATTTGGCGGTTTTAGAGTATTTTATTTTGAAAGTATTCACCGATGTATTCACATTAATGTGTGTTTACTGCCCTCTAGTGGTCACACGGAGGAACTGCAAGGTTCAATTAGTCAAATTAGCGTCAATGCATGCGGTAACTTCCGGTACGTACTTTCAAAATACAGTGACCAAACTGAAACGAACGACTATACCGTGAATCATTGTGTGGTTACAGTTACAAAATACAACTACAAGTTACTTATTTAGGCCTACACACATCTATAATCATGATTATTGCCGTCTGGTGGCCACAGTTAATACCTACAACTGCTATCCACGAGCATAAAGTTAACCACAATAGGATAGTAACAGCTCCGGTTTGACGTTTTCAAAATAAAACGTCTACTATAAACATAGGCGTAATTACATTTAAAGCAACTTTTTGTGTGCTAAATGTTATTCTTTATCATTTTTAAAACACAGCTTTTCCAGGTTGCATTATTATTTAAAAATTACAAAAACAAGTTGTGACACTGTACAAAATAACACATTACACAATTATTATATTATAATATATGAAGTATTTGGGGTGAAGTAAAATCGTTTTGCAAATAATTTCGATTGTTTTGTTTTGTTTTGTTTTTTTTTAAATAATCACAAATCTCTAAATTATTGAAGTCGAGCACGAAAAAACAAAACGGGAACGGAGCTGTTGTTCAATGTCGATGTTTCCTGGTGGACACTTTACAGCAACACACTCGGAGCGCCTCTTTAACTGCGACGTTGTGCACTGACAGCACATTGTGTTTCTCTCGTCTGTCGCAGTAAACAGAAGAAAAAAAAAAATGTCCATATTTACGCCAACAAACCAAATCCGACTCACCAACGTGGCGGTGGTGAGGATGAAGAAAGGAGGGAAGCGGTTTGAAATCGCCTGCTACAAGAATAAAGTCATGAACTGGAGAGCAGGAGCGTGAGTAACGTTGCATGTTTTTAATTTATACCCCCCCCAAAAAAAAAATGACCTTGTTTATTATCGATTACAGTCAGCGGATATTGGCTGGTTGTGTCTTGCAGAGAGAAAGACCTGGACGAGGTTCTGCAGACACACTCGGTGTTCGTTAATGTGTCCAAAGGTCAGGTGGCTAAAAAGGACGACTTGACCAAAACTTTTGGGACAGATGATCTGACAGAAATCTGCAAACAGGTGAGAAATATCTTCCTGATCACCTCTCATCCACACTGTATCATCATCATCATCATCAGAGGCCTGTCAAGGGTTCCCACGCCTCCTGGAAAACCTGGAAATCAACCAAATATCCTGGAAATAATCCACATTGTCCTGTAAATATCACTCAGATACAACTACGTGGTGCATATTGTTGTTAGAAACTTTAAGTTTAAAACACTTAAAAACAAGTCGACCTGATGCAAAGTGGAACTGACTTTTGAGTCAAACGTTCTCATATCTACCTGCACACAGCCGATTCATGATTAAATGTCTTGTTGCTGTGAACGCTAAACTTTCTAGAAGATGAATGAAGTCAATTTTACTTGATTTAATCTTGATTTGTTACTTACGGGCCAAATTATTGTAGTTAATATGCCTCAAACCGCTGCTTGTACGACTGTTTGTTAGCGAGTGCTGTCCTGTATTGTCAAGAAAAAACATCCTGGGAAATAGTTTCTGGGAAAGAATGGGAACCCTTCCTGTTCATCTTCACTTCCTCACCTTTAATCTGCTGTTTCTTTTTCTTTCTCTTCAGATCCTGGCCAAAGGAGAGCTCCAGGTGTCCGACAAGGAAAGGCACAGTCAGCTGGAAACCATGTTCAGGGACATCGCGACTATTGTGGCGGAGAAGTGCGTCAACCCGGAGACGAAGAGGCCGTACACGGTCAGTCTCATCGAGCGGGCGATGAAGGACATCCACTACTCTGTCAAGGCCGGAAAGAGCACTAAACAGCAGGTGAGGAGACACATTAGCTTTGTTTGTTGCTTTGGTTATAAACAACTAAAAGCATTTTCTCATAGAATTTATTCCTGTGTTATAGAAATGTACTAACATTTGCAGACTGATTAAAATCTGGAAAATGCAGCTGGTTTGATCACCACAATTCCTTTTTTTTATGTAATTAAAGACGGTGTGCTGTGTTTCCGTTCCACCGGTTGCACTAACAGTTGGCAGAGATGCATTTAACACTTAAACACTGTGGAGATTAGTTTTATTATTGTTGGACAAAGTTCTGTTCTGAGAGTCTTTGTCTCGACTGACTGATCCGTCCCGTTGTTGTTCCCAGGCTCTGGAAGTGATCCGGCAGCTGAAGGAGACCATGGAGATCCAGAGAGCCCACATGAGGCTGCGATTGGTGCTGCCAGCCAAGGAGGGCAAGAGGCTGAAGGAGAAGCTGAAGCCGCTGCTGCAGGTTGTGGAGAGTGAAGACTTCGACGAGGAGCTGGAAATGGTGAGGAACTCTTCAGAAATCAAAGCGTGTTTGTGGGTGTGAGGGAGTAATCTCTGCAGTCTCTGAAAGGTGTGACATAAACCAGATTGGATTCACTGCAGTGAAGATAATCAGACAAGGAAACTCATGATTTTTGTTTTTTTTAATCCTAAAATGTGTAAATTCTCTCTGTATTAACTCCTCCTCCTCCTCCTCCTCCTCCTCCTCCTCCTCAGGTGTGTCTGGTGGATCCCGGCTGCTTCAGGGAGATCGATGAGCTGATCCGCTGTGAGACTAAAGGCCGAGGTTCTCTGGAGGTTCTCAGTCTGAAGGACGTAGAGGAGGGAGAGGAGAAATTCTAGTAGCAACCAGTCGGGACTCTGCACCTTATCCACACTAACACACTTCACTGCGGCACACAGACAGCTCGACTCGTTGAACAGACTCTGTTTATGAGGAGAGTCTTGCTAATTGCAGCCATTCCTGTTACTCGGACTCTCTACGTTCAAAGGATTTATTAAAAATGATTTGCCAGATTTGCATGCTGGGTGGAATGTATTTTTTAAAAATAAGTTTGAGCGTTTATACGTAAACTAAACAGTTCAAGGCTGAATTTACAGTATTTGTTTTATTTCAGAACTTCTGGACCGTTAACAGAACTTCGTCTCTGCCTTCCATCTGACTTCGTGTGCCATGTAGTCTCGCTCAATATCTCGATTTTATGGATCATTTCTTTAACCCAAATAATGTATATTTTTGTCATAATGAAATGAGTTTGCTCTGTAGTAAATAAATATATAACAAAATAGTTTCTTTATTGTGATTCCACAGTGATTGTTTACATCCCCAAACCCAAAATGTGTTTCAGCTTTAAAATGCAAAACTTCCAAGGGACATTTAAAGCATTTACTTCTGAAAAAGTGCTGTACAGATCACAATACAGATTTCTAGCTATATTCTCTTGAACCATGATTTATAAAATATATTATGTAAAGGAAACAATACAGTGTTTGTAAGTATTACTTTAGGAGTAACTTTCTTTTACAAATGAAATGTGGAAGTTTTACATTGTTCAGCACAAACTAACATTAGAAACATATAGTTAATGAACTCTAGTAAGTACATCTTACACTTAAAGCTATGATTTTAAATAATTATCAAAAAGTTTTGATTTGAAAAATGACATCTTCTGTTGGGATGTAGCTGCAGAAATATCTTCACAAAGACCTTGAGTCATTAATAACTTTAATTCATTTTAGGGTTTTACTAAACGTTTTCATACGAGTTCAGGTTGTACAACCATCTCTAAGTCAGACATTTGGTTTCTCTGAGTTAAAAGAAAACAGAAATCATGGTTTCAGTCATTTATTGCAAAAATAGGGAAAGTGCAGCACGAAAGAAAAATCTGAAGTTGGTTGACACCGAGTGAAAAGTGCACTCTCTGTTAGTGTGTTCTTTACTCTGAAGAGTATCGTACTGACGACTAAACACTGGTGTCTGGGTCTTCGTTTCACGTGATCATTTTACAGCCTACCATGATTATCGGATGCTTCCTCTATTTTTTTTTTTCAAAAATAGATTTCTACAGTATATGTTTCAAAATTACCGCTCACCTTATCAAAGTGTCCTGTGCCACAATGAGTTAAAGCCTCTGTAAGACAAATAAATGTAACAAACTAATGAATATATCTGAATCATTTGCTTTATTCCACAGTGCACAAGAATTCATCTCAGATGTAAACATTTCTGCCACTCTCAACAAAACAAAACATATGAAATTGCATTACTCTAATGTAGGGCAATGTATATGTGCAATACAGTATTAAGTTTGAAGATCAATATTAACACATTCACATTTAAGGCATTACAATATATCCGATGGCTGTAATGTCTTAATGCAAGTTTAGTGTCAATAACTGCATCAAGTAAAGCAAACAGTTTAATTTTACAGTGCTATTGAATCGGGGAAATTGAGTTGAATGTTCATCCTCTGACTCTGAGGTAGAGACCTCATTTACAATATAGCCTGGTGGAATTGAATAAATATATAAACACAAGATCCTAGGTACCAATAAACACAAAAAATAAGCCTAGATAAAAAGCCTGATTAAAGTAATAAAAAGCCAATTAGTAAAACATAAATAAAGCAATTTTAAGCAACAAATCAACAAAGACAATTACAACTGGAAGTGTAATAAAATGAGATTAAAATGTTTAATAACCCTAAGTATGGAAATGAGGTAAGCATTACATTGTTCTGCATGTTATTCTAGGTTGCAGGTGCACAACGAGACCAACTGGCTTTTCCAAGCTCATAAAAATCAACAACCTGTAACACAGGGGCCCACATTTACAGACAGAGTAATGCAAGCAGGCAAAGAGCCAGCAAGGGCCTTATAAATACAAAAACACAGTGTCTATCACGCCTTACAGAGACAGAGGGCCACCCCAACCTTATATCACAATGATGAGTATTATAATTATTACCAGAATGTAAATCAGTACTAATGTATACAGCTTCAATAGAGATGGAAGAAACACAGCAAAACAAAATGCAAATTCAGTCCTACCCACATCCCTGTCAGTAAAACTAGTTACCTGACACATTGCTGTGCTTGTACTTTCTAATGTTAAACTCATGCTTAGTTAAGCCAGTGCATCATAACTCAACAAGTGCAGACAGAAGTTTTCCTCTGCTGTTAAATCTACCCACAGTCATCTCACATATTAATGATTTCCCAGTATATATTCCCTCAGAGAGGCTCTGATCTGCGTTCATACTGGCTGTTTGTGAACGTAGTCCTGTTGATCCTGCTGAGTGGGTGATTCGCCTCCTCCTCTACATTTGGGTACCTGCTCCCTCCAGGCTGCTGCACCTGCCTCTCACCAGTGGGGCATCTGGTGGTGAGAAACACCCCTCCGACCAGCATCAAAGCAAAGGAGATCCACCCGAGGTACAGTGCAGGGCCCCAGTCTCGTCTCAGCAGCACAACACCCTCCAGTGGCTGACTGGTGTGATGGCATGTCCAGGCTGTGGGGATCAGCAGTAGGATCCCAGACACAACAAAGAGAGTACCAGAAAACACTTTGATCTGACCACGCAGAGGGAACCACACTGCCCCCACTGATCCAATCACCGCAGCAAAACCCCCAGCTCCGATGGCTGCCATGATTAGGGCTCTCCACATCCGAAAACTTCCAGAAAGAGACATGAGAGACTGGTAGAAGGAGCAGTGCAGGCTGCCATCGTGGGCCAAGTCCCAGTGATCCCATTCCAGCCACACCCCATCCCAGTAGGCAGGCAGAGTAGCCGTGGTGTTGTCCAGGGTGCCGCTCACCTTCCACAGAGCCAGGCAGCGAGTCAGAATTGAACAAAGCCACCCTGTGAGGCCCAGACCGAGGGCAGTGAGCTCCAGCTGCCGCTCCATAACTCCAGCCTGCCTGCTCCTCCTCTTTTACAGCAGGCCCGACTGCCTAACCAGAAACAGCTGGCAGCAGAGTGAGGTGGGGTGGGGTTTGAACTTGTGTTTGCATGTGAGAGGCACAGACAATCTGTATGTGTATGTGTGTGTGAGTAGGTGTGTCTGTTTTGTCTGTTCATAGAGCGGAAACCAGTTCTTTGGTTCTTGGAAATGGTTTCAAAAGAATTCCAGTCTTTTAGAGAAAAACAACCGTTTCATTGTGCAATGATTTTTCTGCCACTCTGTCATTTTTCTGAAAAAGAATTACTTAATCTCACTCTTGGGAAATACAGTGTTTTCACTCTGTCCTTAGTGTCCATTACACACAGACAGGCCCAAATACACACATGCTACATAGAGTTATTGGGAGAGATGTTAGAGAGACAAGGCTGTGACAGTCAGCCACACCAAGCTGTTAGGGTTTGTTGCAGGTGAACTGGTACCTCTCCAGCTACCAGTCCAGACTCACCACCCTCAGCCAATAAGTTCCTACAAACTAAGAGAACTTAATTTAAAGAGCCACAAGCTCTTCCTGACATTTAAAATTTGTGTGCTCACAGTAGCAGAGACTCCCTCTGTCCTTTGTGGAGCTGCTGGGTACTACTAGTACTACCACCTTAGTTATACTTTATAGTTTCTAGTTTGTGACCTCTTTGAAGTCTAAACCATGACAATTTTATTCCTCATAAGCAGTGTTTCTAAAATAAATGCAATCAGTTAGAAACTTGCTCCCAGTTTCCTTTCTGAAAGCCAGCATGAGAAGCTGGGTCATCAGGAATATTTAACTCTTGTGTTGATCAAACTGAAAGATTTGCATTAAAGCATGACTTATGATTGCATCAGGGGGATTATTAACTTAATGCTCGCTGCTCCTGATCTGATTTGAGTTTTTCCACTTTGTCTAAAACTTGTCTGGTATCTATTTTATTCTACTGATGCATTCAAACTTTAAAACCAAAATCATGAATGTAAACAGCAAAAAAAGAGAACCTTCAGTCAGTCAACTCTGTGAGAACTAAATGCACTTTGACAAAAGAATATCGTTTCTAAAATTGTTTTATTACAAGATATTTGTAAAATGTTTTATACAATTAATTCACAATGTATCAGTTCATTGCAAACAATCAGAGGAAAATTAGGTTTGATACAAAAATAACTTTTTCTTGCCAGAGCAGTTTGAAAAAAAATAAATCAGACACAACTTGTGGTGCTATAAAAAAAACTGACAATGAAGGAGGGTTTCTGAAGAAAAGTAAAATTATTTGCCGTCTGTTTCAGAAGAATGGTCTCAGACGTAGCCGCGGCTGGTGGCTGTGGATCTGGGAACAGGTTTCTTGACTGGATACTCTGGGCTCTCTTTGGGTGGACAGGAGCTGCAGAGGAGGGCACCACCCAGGATGAGAAGCCCAGCTGTGCCCCAGCCAATGTAAAGTGCAGCTCCCAGCTCTCTCCTCTGGGCACTGATCAAGAGGGGGTTGTAGAAATCCCTGATGATGCTGTTGGCGGACCAGCAGACGGGGATGAGGATGAGAACACCGGCACAAATGAAGACAATTCCAGCAGCAATGGTCACCTTTGCTTTGGCACTTGGATCCTCCACAAAGTTGGTGCACTTGCCTCCCACAATGCTCAGGACGACCCCAAAGACAGCAACGATGATGGCGATGACCACAAGAGCTCTGGCAGCCTGAATGTCCTGGGGTAGAGCCAGCAGAGAATCATAGATCTTGCACTGCATCTGGCCTGTGCTCTGCGTCACACAGTTCATCCACAAACCTTCCCAGATGACCTGCGCTGTCACAATATTTGCTCCAATGAAGGCTGTGACCTTCCACATTGGCAGGGCACACACAATGATGGTCCCCAGGAAACCGAGGATCGCCAGGGAAAAGCCCACCATCTGTATTCCCATTGACACCATGGTGAGGTCTTCTTTGAGTCACTTGGAACTGATCAGAAGTAAGAGAGGCGAAGGTTTCAGGAGCAGGTCACCTCAGTCTTGATTGTAAAAGTGGGTTAAAATAAAGACTGTGGCGCATTTCTTTTGGTATAATATCTTTTTTGAAGGTGGAGTCATCACTGGAAAATCCCACTCCCCATACACCACATCCCACCAGCTGTTGTTGTTGGGTTGCTACTCACATTCCTAACTTTCAGAACAATCCTTTTCTCACAAGTTCTGCAGAGAGGGAAAACAAAAGTTCTACTGTGCTGTGATTTTTCAGTTACCGATTTCCCAATCTTATTGCAACCAGGCATTTATAAACAAATGTAATCCATTACTCATTACTGGGTACTACTAGTACTACTACCTTAGTTATACTTCCTAGTTTCTAGTTTGTGACCTATCTCAATTCTAAACCATGACAATTTTATTCCTCATAAACGTTATTTCTAAAATAAATGCAATCAGTAAGAAACTTGCAGCCAGTTTCCTTTCTTAAAGCCAGCATGAGAAGCTGGGTCATCAGGAATATTTAACTCTTGTGTTGATCAAAAGATGAAAGATTTGCATTAAAGCATGATTTATGATTGCATCGGGTGGATTATTTACTTAATGCTCGCTGCTCCAGATCTGATTTGAATTTTTCCAAGTTGTCTTAAACTTGTCTGGCATCTGTTTTATTCTACTGATGCATTTATTTTAAATCGCTCTGGACGGTAAACGTTAAAACCAAAATCATGAATGTAAACAGCGAAAAAAAAAGCAAACAAACCTTCAGTCAGTCAACTCTGTGAGAACTAAATGCACTTTGACAAAAGAATATTGTTTTTAAAATTGTTTTATTACAAGATATTTGTAAAATGTTTTATACAATTAATTCACAATGTATCAGTTCATTCCAAACAATCAGAGGAAAATTAGGTTTGATACAAAAATAACTTTTTCTTGCCAGAGCAGTTTTAAAAAAAAAAAAAAAAACAGACACAACTTGTGGTGTTATAAAAAACTGACAACGAAAAAGGAAAAGGAAAATTATTTGAATGGTCTCAGAAGTTGTCTCGGCTGGTGGCTGTGGACCTGGGACCGGAGTAATTGACTGGATACTCTGGGCTCTCTTTGGGTGGACAGGAGCTGCAGAGGAGGGCACCACCCAGGATGAGAAGCCCAGCTGTGCCCCAGCCAATGTAAAGTGCAGCTCCCAGCTCTCTAATCTGGGCACTGATCAAGAGGGGGTTGTAGAAATCCCTGGTGATGCTGTTGGCGGACCAGCAGACGGGGATGAGGATGAGAACACCGGCACAAATGAAGACAATTCCAGCAGCAATGGTCACCTTTGCTTTGGCACTTGGATCCTCCACAAAGTTGGTGCACTTGCCTCCCACAATGCTCAGGACGACCCCAAAGACAGCAACGATGATGGCGATGACCACAAGAGCTCTGGCAGCCTGAATCTCCTGGGGTAGAGCCAGCAGAGAATCATAGATCTTGCAATGCCTCTGGCCTGTGCTCTGCGTCACACAGCTCATCCACAAACCTTCCCAGATGACCTGTGTTGTCACAATATTTGCTCCAGCGAAGGCTGTGACCTTCCACATTGGCAGGGCACACACAATGATGGTCCCCAGGAAACCGAGGATCGCCAGGGCAAAGCCCACCATCTGTATTCCCATTGACACCATGGTGAGGTCTTCTTTGAGTCACTTGGAACTGATCAGAAGTAAGAGAGGCGAAGGTTTCAGGAGCAGGTCACCTCAGTCTTGGTTGTTAAAGTGGGTTAAAGTGAAGACTGTGGCGCATTTCTTTTGGTATAATATCTTTTTTGAAGGTGGAGTCATCACTGGAAAAAACCACTCCCCATACACCACATCCCACTATTTCACATGATTTAAACATGTGGTGCTTATTAAACATATGGTGGCAATTATAACAGAGTTAATGAAAGCCAGTTGCATTGTAGCAGCCTCCCTCTGTGGAGCTGTTGGGTGGAGAAGAACAATGCCACCTAATGGAACTGCATTCAGATGTAATAGGCTCTGTAATACAGAAAAGTGATTCAGATGACACAGGTTCACAGTATTTATTTTGAATTAAGATGCAAATCACGCACACAAGCTTTTGTTATTTCAAGTATTCATTTAACTAAAAATAGTGTCTAAAACAATTGATTAATGTAATCCTCCACTATGCATGCACAGTCAGCTACATGGATACAAATCAATTCACTGACTTTCTTTGTGAAAGGAACTGGCAACAAAGTCATTCTTCATACGACCAAGGAAATCAATATCATGATTCATTTTGACAAATTGCAGCTATTTCACAAGTTAATTAAAGCTGTATTAAACACATGGCTACATATATTTCCCCTATATTAAAATCTAATGATTCAACTGCACTTTTCATGACAACCACGAACATTGATAAACATCTGCAAATTGTTGATATTGACACTGACTGGTAAGTAAACTATTGATAATGGTCAAATCCACTCACCCAAAAGAGAAATAACATAATAAAATGTTTTGTAAAGCATACTTTTTGAGTCTTTTCATATATTTAAACATGTTGTCTTTTTCAAAATATATATATGAACTGTATATTATTGATACATGACCAACAGCATTATATCACACAGTTCAATACAGTGATAACTTGTTTTAAACAATATGTATTCAGCCATCAGTTCTCACTTCACACATAGTTCTTGATAGCATAGCTGCTGTGTATGTTTGTCCTGGCCAGTGTGTACCCACTGGAGGCTAACCTGGCCCTCTGTGGTGGGCAGCTTGTGCACAGAATGGCTCCCCCACAGAACAGCAGCCCAGATGTCACAAAGCCGATATATATGGCCGCTCCAAGCTCCCTCTTCAACACCTCAGGGACGCGTGGGTTGTGGAAGTCAGTAATGATGGAGTTGGCCGTCCAGGAAACAGCAACTATGGTGGTGAGAGCCCCAAGGCAGAAAATGGCCCCAGAGCTCACCACCAAACGAGCCTTGATCCTCGGGTGACCCAGGCAGTTGGTGCAGCGTGCTCCCAGGAGGAAGATGAGGAATCCCAAACATCCCAGCACCAGGCTGATGCAGATGAGGCCGCGGGCCGCCTGGAGGTCTGGTGACAGGTCCAGCAGGGCGTCATAAAGCTTACACTGCAGCTGACCTGTGTACTCACTGACACAGGTCATCCACAGACCTTCCCAGAACACCTGCATGACCACCAGATGGGTGCCGATGAATGCAGTCACCTTCCACATGGGCAGAGCGCAGATCAGGATGGTCCCAGCAACGCCAATCATGGACAGGCTGATACCGAGCTCCTGTAGAGCCATGGGACACAGTGCAGACTGTCTCACACCCTGGGAAACACAGACGGTGGAAAGGATTTTTAGTTTTTATTCAGAATGGACAGATTTAATCTTCCTTTTATCACATCATATCATTGACATGCTGCTGGTGGAATTAATAAAGTGTTTCACTGATTAATGTAAAACTGAAATGTGTTCTTCTGTGTCAGGTCAACACAATATTCATGTATGGCTTTCTATTTCAACCTGCAACAAGGGATTACGTCAGCCAAAGAAATATAAGACAGACAGACAGACAGACAGACAGACAGGCAGGCAGGCAGGCAGGCAGACAGGCAGGCAGGCTGGCAGACAGACAGACAGGCAGATCTGTGTTCTGTTATCAGATGTGATCACAGAAACCACCGAGGTGTTTTTCCGTAAAGCTGCAGTTGTTTCCTGTAACTGAAGTCATTGGGTAAAAATGTAGGGATTTTCTGGCCATGGAGGCAAAGGACCACTAGGTAGCAGTATATCACAAAAGACCAACACAAAGACTCGGTTTATTTTGCTCTCAGTTACAAATTGCAATTTGAGAGAAATACTTTAATAAAAAGTGTTGCTGACATGAAATTAAAATATGTTGTCAGCTTAAGATTTTTACCTTCAAATAGATTTTTAAGGCTCAAATCTAAAGTTGAATCAACGTTTTCCATCCATCTCATCTACGTGGTTATTATTGCGACCATGACACTGAGGGTCCCCTAACCTTAACGATAATTATTTGAACCCAAAATATGAGGATTTGTTTACACATGTATGATCCAGGTTGTATGACATCTCTTTCTATTTATGTTTATGTTTATGTGATATTGCAGAATCATTATCACTACAGATCTAAAAAATCATGTTATTAATTTGTCAAAATGTTGCTCCATGACCAAAGCTAAAGGGACAGTAATGGGTGAGAACAGAAAACGTTTATTATATAAATTTCTTAAGTGTCTTATCTTTGAATCGTATAATAATGTCTGACCTTCACGCCCAAGCCAGACTGAGCTGAGCTACTAATATAACTTTAACACCTGGGATATGTTATAGATAGAAAGATATTTCACTTCCCATAAAGTTTGGAGAATCAGTGTATCCCTTACTGATACTCATCAACATCTATCTTATTACTCTTGTTGTGCTCGGAATACAAGAAGCTGATTTGGAGAAAAATTTTAACGTAAACCAGAGAGAAAGCAGGAAACACTTAATGGAGACATTTCTCATTTTCGAACATTTGAAGCTAAGAGTAATCTGACCCTCCCTTCTCTCTGATCCACTGTCTGATAACATGAGAAAACACAGCACTCCCGTCAGGTTGGTGGGACTCTGGACGAACAACGTCAACATTTTCATATTAAAACCCTCTTGTAAAATCTATTCAAACTAAATATTTGAGATGTTCAGGGGCAAAGTTGACGTGAACAATCACTGTTGAGACACTGTTGTTTTTTTTCCCCAAGCATGTATGTAACACACATTGACAGTGACGGATGAAACTGCAGGTCATGCTTTACTAAACAGATCAGCCAACAGTTATTTAAGTCCCTGAGTCACCATGTTTGTTCTCAGGATAGTGATCTATGATAAGTAGCTACCTGAAAAACAGGTTCTCTCAGTATTTAGTTTAAATAACCACAGGTGCATTTTTTGAAGCATGACAGAAAAAACAACAACTTACAATTATAGAAAAGTAATTTATTGTGGAAAAAATAGGATCACAAATATCAAAGAGCAAAAATATGTGCAGTGCAATTACAAAATGTTTTAGTTTTTCAGCTGAAACCAACAACTTTCCCAAACATGTAACACAGAGTTTCTATAATTTAAACCACCCCCACATACACATTAATACCAAGAAATATTCAAAGAAATTTCAGACAGAGCATCTTCATACATCGAAAGTGTGATTCTCTTACAAGGACAAAGTTCATATTTCCTTCATTGTGGGTTGCCTGTGCGTATGTCCTTTGTCTTGATATTTCACAGCAGCTAATTAAATTCCAAACTTCAAGCAAACAGCCATCGACCAGACTTCTCTTTGTCCCTTTAGAAATCTCAAATATACGTCTTTGGTGATGTAAAAGAGTTGACTGAATCCACTTTGCTATTTCCTCCAGACTTGTTTATGAGGTACCTCACAGAAGGGGTCTCATCCTCTTTGGGGGGGCAGCTGGCACACAGAAGCCCTCCTCCCAAGAGCAGCAGTGCGCTAGCCCCCCAGCCGATGTAGAGAGAGGCCCCGAGCTCTCTTTTCTGGGCGTCTACTAGCACCGGGTTGTAGAAGTCCCTTATGATAACACTGGCAGTCCAGGAAACGGGGATGAGGCACAGGATTCCACTGATGATCAGGATCACACCTGCTGCCACTGATGCCCTAGCCTTGGCCCTCTCCTCAGGAATGAAGTTGGTGCACTTTCCACCAGCAAAAGCGATGAGGAGTCCCGCGATGCCTGTGACGATGGAAACCACAACCAGAGCCCGGGCCCCCTGGAGGTCAGTGCCCAGAGCCAGCATGGAGTCATACACCTTACACTGCATCTGGCCTGTACTCTGGACCACGCAGCTCATCCAGATGCCCTCCCACATGATCTGGGATGTCACTATGTTGTTGCCAATAAAGGCAGTGACCCGCCACATGGGTGCGCCGCAGACAATGATCACCCCAATCCACCCAAAAAGGCCCATGGCACAGCCAGCCATCTGCATCCCCATGGAGGCCATCGTCTTCTCTCTCTGAGTGTCTCTGAGAGAATATTAACAGCTGATCAGGTGTTTCAATGCATCTGAAGCAGGTATGAGAATGAAGAATGGGAGGAGAGAAAGCCAAGCTATTAAGGACACATTAGAAGCTCTGCCAAAGAATACCAGCCATGCAGGATTCTTTGTGCGTTGGGACAATAAAGGTTGGGGTTTCACTCATTCTTCTGGATGGAGACGAGGATTGGGTTACACACCGGTTTTGTTGGTACTCTCAAAAAGGAAAGGATGTATGTTACAGAAAATGCACCATCTTCAAAATGTAGGCAGTTTGAGCGACAGCACATACAGTATCATCAACATAAGGGTGTGCAAAGAGTGAGAATTAACTGAATGCATTCTGCCATTCACTAAAGTCTCAAGGCAAATTTTTACATTAAATACAATTCAATAATAAAATAAATTATGCATATTTTTCATAATATTTAATGTAAAAGAAGATAACAAATGCATAGCCCCCTGGACACTTTTGACCATCCGTCACACTCCAACCCCCCTCACCCAGCTTTTGGCTTTGGTGTGCCACCCCAAGATTTTCAGTGGCCACACCTATTAAACATTTCGGGGGACATCAACTCTCTGCTGACTTTTGTGATCACAGAAGAAGCAAGATGTTACAGTACAAACTTTTGTCTCTGCTTATGTAGGTCCGTATAAGTAGCTGCAGTACTTGTTGGGCATCTGTCTGTTTGACATATTTCAAAACACCTCTATAGGTGATAAAGATATGTTTGATCTTACGTTTTGCTTTTAATTTAGCTTAGTTTCATTGTTAACTTAATAAACAAGTTGAATTCTTTTAGTTTGAGTTTTGTGATTGTCTTTAAACTATAAACATTATACCAAAAAGTCTGAATTTGTCTTGTAAATCTTTCAGTGCTTACAACTATTCATATGCATAAAAAGCATAATATCATTTAAAAACCATATGAACAAATATAACAAATTTAAAAATACATTAAATATGCAGTAAATGAAGAATATATGTTTCACTTTTAACGATTCATTTCCTGGAACCCATTTTTCGATCATTGTTTAGTTTGTTATGAACTAGATTGTGATGCATTTGTTCCATTGTCTGACATCAGTGAGTTTGATACACAATCAATTATCCATAACAGGTTCAGGTAGAGTATTTCTAGGGCAACTTAGGAATGCGAAACCAGGTAAAATGCAGCAACACAACAGGGTGTGTTTACATCAGTGAAACACACCCTGTAATGCTGTGCTGACATCATGTTTGTGATGAGATTCAAAAATCAAAAACAAAATGCATCGTTTGAAGCTTCCCTTTTGAACAACACACAGAAGCATCTTCTGGACTCCCCAGTCAATCTGTGCCCTCCAAAACTAATGAAAATCACTGATGAAATATAAATACAATTTATGATGTCGTGTGTAAGGTTTAGTCACAAACATGACTCAGTTGGGTTTAGGGATCATTAAAATCAAAGGTTTGGGTTAAAGGTCCAGTGGTCAACATTTATGAAGATCTATTGGCAGAAATGGAATATAATATTCATGTTTACATTATTATATTATATAATTGATACATTATTGTATTTACAGATGCCGTGCGTGGCTTTCCATGAAGGCTGCCATGTTGAACCGCCGCATGTTTCTTGGAAAGGGAGGGTGAAGGTAGGAATGCAATCAGCAATTACAACACTAGATTCCACTAAAACCTACACACTGGAACTTTAAAATGACTACTTTGTTAAGGTTAGGGAATAATAAGAACCACTTGAATAAGGCTGAAGTGACTGTTATTTTTTTGGGCGGGCAGTCTTATTGGGATTATTTTCAGTGTGTATGTGGTTTCTGAAATGAAACAGTGAGATTAACATTCAGCTTTAAGGGACTTTGACAGTGTTCACATCCATATTGGGTGAATGTATCCAAACCAATATATCTTATACCTTTGTCATGTATACTTAAACTTACATGTATCCATCATTGTCCAAAAACAAAACATATCAATGAGCCACATCACTTGGTAACGTGGTCCTTCATTTGGACAATTAAAGTTAATTTTCTGATAAATTCAGATTTGTTTGATGGAAGCAAGAGAGTGTTTTTTGAGGAATGAACAGAACAAAGATGTGGTGTGAAACTACAGTACCTGCAAGAAGATCTTTCAACAGCATCATGACTATAATGTGTTTTTTCTACATAAAGCTTGTGTCAAACCACAGATACATTATGATTTCATTGTAGAAATTATTTTGTTATATCTTTTTTCAATAGCAATATGAAAAGTACGTTTTTGTTTACTGAAATCAAGAATCAAGAATAAATAATATTCTTGTGGATACATATATCCATTGTTGTTCTAAAATCAAAACCCATCAATGAGATACATCGCTGCCCTGGGTGACGTGGTCCTTATTATGGGCACTATAGATTACTTTGAGTCAACTCCCCCCCATACACCATCCTGTTGATTTAAATACTCAGTAGAGCACCAAATGTCAGTCAATTCATTCCAGAAAATAGTCCCCAGGAAATGCAGAATTTTTATAATGAAAGTATACTGTGCATTTGTGACCCGTATTTAAAGATTTTCATCATCAGTAGGAACCAAGGCGCTTGGGCCTGAGAGACAGAGACAGGTAAGGAAGTCAGAATATATTGAGAGTATGTTTTCATGGGATTTATTGACAATAAGTCAAATGTAGAATAACACCAGCCTCATCCTTTTAAACTGAAGATCAGTCCTCAAACGTCATACTCTCTGTTTAATTCCAGCTACTTGAGCACAGTAAATTCAGCCTCCAGGTATTTACTTACTGTACTGTAAATGTATGTAAACACAGAAGAGGACGTAGTGCCCCTCTAAAGAAATGTCTATGGGAGTAACAATTGTACAATAATGATCCCTATCTGGAAAGATCTTTATTAGCATTTGGTCAGCAGCTTAAGGGGTCTGTTTATCTTTCAAAATCTTCCACTCTGTATTTACTCTTTACAAATAGAAGCTGGTGTATGGGTATGGCTTTTAATGCTTGTTGAAACTAGCACACTGTAGCAAGTTTTATGAAAAGGCTTTGATTGGCACTCAACACTGTAAAACTGGCTGAACTAGTTTCACGTCTGCAGGAAGAATTCATACAAATGGCTGAATGTTTTTGAATATACTCTTCTGCTTAGTTATACTTCTAGTTTCAGGCCTCTTTGAATTTTAAACCATGTCCACTGTATTTACTATAAGCAGCGTTTGTAAAATAAATACAAACGTGCACCCCAGTTTCCTTTCTGAAAGCCAGCATGAGAAACTGAATTATCACTGTATTCCTTAACCCCTCTGATACAATCAAGTTAAAGAATTTCCTTTGACACATGACTCGTTGCATCATTTCATTTCAGATTATTTGAAATGCAACATCACGAATGCAACAACAAAAACCAGAACAGACCAAACCATGTAGACTACAAAATAGGCACATTGACACTAGAATCTCATTTATTAAATAGTTTTATTAAAAATCAGTGATTTCAGTAAGCAAAAACAGTCTTTTTATATTGCTATTGAACAAAGATATTTGTACAATATTTTGCATAATAAAATCACAATGTATTAGTGTACTGTACATTTCCATCCATATCAAACATTCAGAGGAAAATAAGGTTTAATACAAGCTTTATATAAAGTAACTCAGCACAGTCATTATGCTGTACAGGTACTGTAGTTTCACACCACATCTTCGTTCTGTGTTTCTCATTCCTAAAGAAACAATCTCTCTTGCTTCCATCAAACAAATCTGAATTTATCAGAAAATTGTTTCTCACTGTGTGTCCCTTTTTAAAAAAAAAAGTGAGACACAACTTGTGGTGCTCTCAGAAACTGGAAACGAATGAGAATTACTTAAGAAAAGTAAAATTATTTGCTGTCCTTTTCAGAAGAATGGGCCTCTCAGACATAGGCTCGGCTGGTGGCTGTGGACCTGGCACCGGCGTACTTGACTGGATACTCTGGGCTATCTTTGGGTGGACAGGAGCTGCAGAGAAGGGCACCACCCAGGATGAGAAGCCCAGCTGTGCCCCAGCCAATGTAAAGTGCAGCTCCCAGCTCTCTCCTCTGGGCATTGGTCATGATGGGGTTGTAGAAATCCCTGATGATGGTGTTGGCGGACCAGCAGACGGGGATGAGGATGAGAACACCGGCACAAATGAAGATAATTCCAGCAGCGATGGCCACCTTTGCTTTGGAAGTTGGATCCTCCACAAAGTTGGTGCACTTGCCTCCTGCAATGCCCAGGATGACCCCAAAGACAGCAACGATGATGGCAATGACCACAAGAGCTCTGGCAGACTGAAGGTCCTGGGGTAGAGCCAGCAGAGAATCATAGATCTTGCACTGCATCTGGCCTGTGCTCTGCGTCACACAGTTCATCCACAAACCTTCCCAGATGACCTGCGCTGTCACAATATTTGCTCCAATGAAGGCTGTGACCTTCCACATTGGCAGGGCACACACAATGATGGTCCCCAGGAAACCGATGATTGCCAGGGCAAAGCCCAGCATCTGTCTTCCCATTGACACCATGTTGAGGTCTTCTTTGAGTCACTTGGAACTGATCAGAAGTAGAAGAGTTGAAGGTTTCAGGAGCAGGTCACCTCAGCTCAGGTTGTAAAGTTGAGTAAAGACTGTGGCAAACTTTCTTCGGTTATAAGGATGTCTTTATGGAAGGTGGAGTCAGGAAGTCCTTCCCTCTGACCTGAAACCAGTGCATTGGACCTGCCCAACCAGATTCTTGAAATTATTCGTATGCGGACGGAGAGTAGTTTCGACGAGATGAACATCAGTCTTAAACGACTCTATGTAAATGAGACGCCACATTCCTCACGGAAACAATACTCTGCCAGTGGCCGACCTTTGATTGGGCAGGTCCCCGGAAGATCAGGTCCAGTCAGTGGTTTCAGGTTTTTAAAAAAACATCAACATGGATGGGAGTATCACCGGATGTCAGACGTTGACAAGAGCTTCCATTTATGGTTTATGTTCCTGGTTTTGCTCATTACTACTGTTTATTCATTACTATATATTTTCCTTCCTCCTTCCTTATATATTTATTTATAATATTTAACTATTCAAAGAAGTGATTTTATTCCCAATCAGAATCAGAGCACTCACATTGATCAATGTTGCAGTTAATTGGATTACTTCAACAACCTATTTTTTCTCTATTTTCTCTATTTTAATAAGGTTTATTATGTCTCTGTGTATTTCATGTATTTTTCAGATGTTCTGTAGTTAACAGTGAAATTAAAGTGATTAAAATTATCATTTGTTTTCATTTTTATAGATTTATATTTATAAAATAGTAGCAATATGTTGTATATGTATAATGACTCCACAGACAGATAGGGGAATATATTACAAACATTTTATTGAAATCTCAAAAATAAAGTGACATTTACAAGAAATCAAACATCACAAATCATCACAAAATCATGCAAAAAAATCTGCTCTGTATGACAAGAAAATAAATATATCGATTCACTTGAAAACCAATCCAACTGTCACAGCCACGTTGACACAATATTCCTCTTATATCAAGACTTTATAAACTAGAAAGATTTCTACTTTAAAGCACAAAATCAATCCAAAAGAGAAAACATTTTACAGAAGATTCCTAATAATCAAATGTCACAGTGATTGTTTCAGTGAATTAATTCCTAGGATATATTGGAATAGATACTATCCTTTAGAATTACAATGTGCATTTTTTGGTGCAATTTTACTTTATAATGGCATAACAAGTTCATGAAGCCATCCTGGCAGAAATCTTGGCAAAAAGTCTTTATCCTCTTTCGGTCCTTTCAGTTAGAGGTACTGTCTAGCAGAGTATGTGGTTGGTGCTCCATATGGTTTGGTGGGTACATATGACCCCGCCCCTGTGTATGGTTGACTGGATGGGGGAACATACACAGGGCCATACGTTGCTGGGTTTGCCACTGGGCCTGCGTAAGGGTACATAGGTGCTGGTGGGTAGCCAGGGTATCCATACATGGATTTCTGAGGAGGACAGGATGTGGTAAGGATGATCCCACCGATCAGAAGAAATGCAGCAGAGGCCCAGCCGATGTAGATGGAGGCTCCGATTTCCCTCCTCTGTGTCTCAATGGTCAAGGGGTTCTGGAAGTCTGTGATGGTGATGGCTGCAGACCAGCAAACAGGGATCAGGACCAGGATGGCGCAAAGAATGATGAGACAGCCGCTTATGATGACCACCTTGGCCTTTGATGAATCGCTCTTCAGGCAGCCGGTGCACTTGGCTCCAATGAAGCTGATGACAAAGCCGATGAAGCCAAAGATGAGGGAGATGATGACCAGCGCTCGGGCAGCTTGTAGATCACTGGAGAGCCTCATAACAGACTCATTCAGCCTGCACTGCATCTGGCCGGTGCTCTGCATCACACAGTTCATCCACAGACCGTCCCACACTATCTGGCCAGTCACGATGTTGGCTCCAATGTAGGAAGTCACTCTCCACATGGGGATCCCACAGGTCACCGCCACCCCAACAAAGCCTATGAAGCTTATGACCTGACCTGCCACTTCCTTGCCAATCCTCCCCATGGTGAAGTGGCTCTGTCTGTAGCAGGAGAGAGAAGGGATTCAGCATACAGGTCTGGTTCTCTTTCGGTGTGTGACACAGCTCTCTCACTTGTTGTTTGTCAGAAAATGTACAGGAGGAGGGCTGTCCTGTTGTCAAGTGAGTTCTTCTGGTCAAACAAGATTCCTCTTCCTAGAACTAGAGGAGTGGCTTGAGGAGTTTTTAAACAATGCCTTGCTTTGCTCTTGGAAAACACACTTTCATATGCAGATTTCACTGCAGCAAGGATGGGGTTATTGGATAGTTACAACCACTTAGTGACTTCAAAGGCCCTGAAACCAACTCAGACTGTGAAAGCTAGCAAATGATCAAATGGCATCTAGTTTCACAAACAGGCTCTTTGCTGTGCTAATTTAAATCAGAGTAGTGGTGGGGCATCTTAAGGCAACAACCCCCACACACAACTGATAAGCACAAAAACAGTTCATCAGATTATCTCTTTTTCACTCTAAAGTTTATGTTATTATTTTATTTTAGTCTAAAGAGACTATTGTTTATGCTTATTTTTCATAATCGAGAATTGACTTTTAAGACTTTCGCATTGTGTTTGGTACCACATTGAGACAATTTTGGAGAAAAAGCTGGAGGAAAAAAGTTCACTTTCCCTTTATTCTTTCTGCAAAGTGTTTTCCCAAGATGGTATTTTGTGTCACTAATTTGTTTAATCAAAGGAAGCTTCCGGTCTGAAGGTTAAAAGTACTTAAATATTTTGTTGAATTATTGAACTATAACTGTCAACCACAGTATCTGTAATACAAACAGAGCAGAGTTTTTTCTCTCAGTGGATTAGTTTGATTTTTCGATAATCAGCCTGGAGCTGAGGAAGAGAGATTATCTGTTTTAAGCATAACAATCCTTTTGATTGAGTGATGTCACACAGGATGTCGACTTTGCATTTGAAAAAAAAAAAAAAACAGGTTTCTCAGAAGTAATTAAACTCATCCACTGAGTGTATATTTTATTTACATTAACAGAACATGACAAGATTCAGAAGCAATTTTTTTAAGTGATACAGATAAAAATGCTTAGACTTTCCTTAAACCCACAAGTGTTTTTGCAGGAGAGAACAATAACTGACACCCTTTTTGTTACCAAGACAGACGTAATAGATGTGAAATGTGTTAGTTATACATTATATATCATATACTACAAGTTATACATGAAGGAAGCTATGTTGTTTCCTCCATTTATTTGTTGAGATGTTACCATCTGAAAGACAATAAAGATAATTACACTGTGAAATCCTTACAAGAATCTGACTAAATATTTACACAGATTATTTATAATCATGATACAAATCCTGGTTATTCATCAACCAGCTGCAATACAACATGGATTTAAAAAAGGGCTCTTTAATTTTTTAAGTGTATACTGAGACATGAATGAAGTTCCTGGTGTTTAAGTGAACAGACATTTTCCACAGCAAACATTTTCTCAAACAAACTCATCATAGCAGGAACAAGCTCAGTGGTAACATTGAATACAGTTTCGTTACTTCTAGGTGTGACAGTGAGCCAGCCTGCACAATCTCAGAGCCCCGTTGACACAACTAAATGCAATGAAGCCTTTGTTTATGCTTTTAGTTAGACTTGCTTGACAGGACAAAATGTCCCCTGTGAGAAAGGTCAGCATGCAGGTTGAAACATGCAGTCAATCAAAACTCAGGATTCAGATCATGGCAAGTTGTGATTTCATTCTATAGTTAAATTGGCAGGTTGTATGATTTTATTTCTCTGTTTCCATTCCTGTGACCTCAAGAGTCCATGTAGGAAGTGCAAACCATCTTATACGTATTCTCTTGATGTGGAGACTGACTTCACAGGTGTGAATTTGGGTACGTAGTGGGGGTGTTCATGTTTCGGTGGGCAATTCCAACACAGTAGTCCCCCTCCCATCAGCAGCAGTGACGCAGCCGCCCAGCCGATATACAGCGCCGCTCCTAACTCATACCTCTGGGCTTCGATCAACAGTGGGTTGTAGAAATTGTTGATGATGCTGTTGGCAGACCAGGAGACTGGAATGAGACAGAGCAACCCCGAGACGATGAACAAAACTCCAGCCAGGATGCAAGCCTTCGCCTTGGATCGCTCGTCCTCAATGCAGTTAGTGCATTTCCCACCAGCGACTGACACGACCAATCCAAAGATTCCAGTCAGGATGGAGATGACAATCATGGCACGAGCGGCCTGCAGGTCCTGTGGCAGAGCCAGCATGGAGTCATACACCTTGCACTGCATCTGTCCTGTACTCTGCACCACACAGTTCATCCACATGCCCTGCCAGACGGTCTGAGCTGTGATAATGTTGGCTCCAATGAAAGCAGTGACCTTCCACATTGGCAAGGCACACACCACGATGACCATGAACCAACCGATCACAGCCATAGATATACCAATGATCTGAATCCCCTGAGAAACCATCTTGCCGGCTTTGCTCCACACACGTCAAAATCCAAAAAGAAAGACAAGTGGAATGATGTGAGCTTATATTTATAGGTTGTTGTGTGGGAAGAAGGGACACAGGCATGAGGGTATGTGATACCACAGTCCTCAGCTCCTATTGGTTTGAAGGAAGGAGTTTACACATAAACAGAGATCCAGTGACCTTTAGTTGTGCTGACCCGTCAGAATCCAAACCTTCAAGGTCAAATACAAACAAAAGACAAGTTGTCCATCAACCTTTTATCCTCTGAATGACAAAGATTTCAAACATAGAAGTTTGGCCTCAAGCACACACAATTAAGAAGAATTAACAAATGAGGCTTTTTCTATTTTCATGATACCAGTGATACCAATATGATACATAAGCTTTTCCCCAAAAATGTTTTATAACTTCATTCACGAAAACTGTACATTAGACAGGGTGTATATGTGACTTGTTAAAAAGGGAAACTGGATAAAAATGTAATTTGGATTCAAGTTCCAAGTCTGAACAAGAATAGAAGCCAAAAACACAATTGATCTTATTTAGTAAACATTTGCTGTATGTTTATGTAATGTGAATTTCCAACTGTACAGAAGGTGATAAAAGTTCTGTTACTTTTAGTATTTAGTATTTACGCACAATATGTGTGAGATAAACTGCAAGATGTGTTAGTTTGTTTACAGTAAGGGGCAGTGTTGGGCAGGTAATGACTCAGACATGGATATGTTTCCTGTAAAACAACATGCATCTCATAATTCATAGGTATAGTACAAAAAAGATGCATTAGATTTGAATATAATTTAGATTTAGTTGTTTTTACACAATTAAGTTGTATTGTCTCTGTAAAGTTTTGTCTGCTTATATTCTTCTTATATGAGATTTTCAGGGTGACTGAATCAGTATTTTTGGAAAATTTCATGGAATATTGAGAAACTATTTTGGAGAAGATTTGATGATATGTAGAATTTTGTCTAACTTTTCTAAAATATTTATCATTGCTTTTAGTAATTAATCAACTAGAATCTATGCGTTGTGTCTTGCAGAGCCCCACCCAACATGACTTCTTCCTGAAGCCTCCATTTTACCTGAAGATGAAGCTGTTATAAAAATGTTATAAATGTTTTGAAGAACATACAGAGCATGATAATTCAATGTAGATAAAAAAATCTTTATTTACAATTTCAGTGTCACATATAACACGTACTTTAAAATGAAATGATATGTAAAAAGGCACAAATGGATGAAAACAAAGGAAAAGTAACAGAAACAAATATATATATGTATATATGTATCTTTTTTCACTCCACCTGGTCAAACATTTTGACACTCAGTCCACATGACCAGTTATTTGGGTGTGGTGCACATCTCTTAATCTTGGCACTGATGAAACAAGCCATGAAGTGCTGTATCTCAACAAGTATCAAATCAAAATGAGCACAATAAAATCACTGTGAAATTCAGATCTTGCACAATATTGTGGCAATATGAAACAATTTCATGGACCACAAAGCATTTGAATCAAGTCTTTTGTCAGTCTCTGGTCCTTGTCATTTGTCTTTTCTCTCCTCAGACGTAGTCCTTGGGTGCAGTTGAACGGGGAGCTGAGTACTTGGCAGAGTAGTTATCCTTGGGAGGGCAATTGGCACAGAGGAGCGCACCACCCAGGATGAGGAGGGCTGAGGCCCCCCAGCCGATGAAGAGTGCAGCTCCAAGCTCCCTTTTCTGAGAGCTCATCATTATTGGGTTGTAGAAGTCCCTTATGATGGTGTTTGCCGTCCAGGACACGGGGATGAGGCACATAACACCAGCAATGATAAAGACCACTCCAGATGCCACGCCGATTTTGGCTTTGGAGCTCTCATCCTCCACGCAGTTGGTGCATTTGCCCCCTGCGAGGGACAGCAGGATGCCGACAATGCCTACCAGGATAGAGATGATAATGAGGGCACGGGCAGCCTGGAGGTCATTGCTCAGAGCCAGCATTGAGTCATAAACCTTGCACTGCATCTGGCCTGTGCTCTGGACCACACAGCTCATCCAGATGCCCTCCCAGTTGGTTTGAGCAGTGACAATGTTCTGGCCGATGAAGGCTGTCACTTTCCACTGGGGCAGAGCGCAGGCGACGATGGCCCCAATCCAGCCAATAATGCACAACGCAGTGCCCACCATCTGAAAGGCAGCCGACACCATGTCTCCTCAATAAGCTTTTTGCAGTCGTCCAAAAAAAAGGTCCAAAAGTTGTGTGTCAGGAAGTCAGTAAAGTCTTGCTTGAGAGATCCCCAAGAGTAAATGTTTGGGTACGGTTGGAGCAGGTCTTTTATACACTTAACCCGGGAGGGGCTTGACACACACACATTGTCTGTGACGTGATGACTATACCCCAACTACCAGCCATGGGCATGTGTCATCATGTCAGTTTTTGTCTCATTTCAATAATCGTTGCAGGTGGAATAGCCACATTATGACTCACAGGTATTGAGATCGGTTGAGCAGACAAAAAAATATCCCCAGCCACACCCTCAAAAACATTTTATTGGCCAGTAGGAAGCTTTCTTGTTCCTTTTTAATATGTTTTGTGTGACTGTGACTGACTTTGATGTTGTCAAGTTGAAGTCAAAATGGTACTTTTCAGACTATGAAGGAGCACATAATATTTAATTTCTAGTTTAAATGAGAGATGAAGACAAGAGTTTCAGGGATTTCAGGGATTTCATCAAACATTGACTATTGCTTTCTACCCTCTGATGTCACCCTTTAAGTCAAGTCCTGTCATTTCCATTTTTTAGGGTTGCACACATGATGAAAAAGAAAGAAAGAAGAAATAATTATTTTGTCAGATATTTGCTTGTGATCTTGTCTGTTAACCTTTGACCCTTGGTCTGTGATCTTTTCAGCTGTGGGAGTTTCAGTGTAAAACAAAGAAGAAACACCAACTACTTTTGTCCACAGTGAAAATGTGTATATGTTAGAATGTGTGTGTAAAGTGACTAAAGTACTATTCTCTTCTTTACTTTGCTATTTCTTAGTTTTAGAATTAAATACTTAGCGCACAGAATTTAATAAAATTCACAGATATGGAAATGACTAGATTAGTTGCACTTCTTGGCTTCTGCTGCAGCTTTAAAGCACTCTTGATGTCAGAAACGCAGCATATTGTTTAAACGGTTGCACTCTGCACAGACTAAAAAATACACTTCCGTAATCCTCGGATCCACACCTAGGAACTGCCGTTTTAAGGTTTGGCAACTTCTTGTTTATTTTATGTGTTTTGCTATGTATGCACATTCTTTACATTGTAAAGCTCCAGTTGATCAGATGATCACAACTGTCCACATTATTACTTAGTAGGTCATATATACCCTGTAATAACAGAATACGTACCCAGTAGTTAAAAAATAACTACAGTATAACTTCTCTGTATAATCTCGACTTGTTATATTCGACCCTTATTCCATAACTTCACATCTTGTTCCCCAGTACCTGCATAAATATACTGGTACGTATTGTATTGTTACACCATTAGTAGAAAAGACTACGCCGTAACTCCAAATCAATTGCGCTTTAATCTAAAACATTACCAGATATTGGAGAAGATACAGAAAAGATGTATTCTAGGTGAAAAAGATATCGAAGCTGACCTTGCAGTGATGTCAATCCTTAAAGGCGGAAGGGTTGCAGCCTTCTATTGGTGGTCTTGGGAGCAAAATGTGCACTCTGCAGTCCAGGGGTCCCACTTGATTTATCGATAGTTTTCCACAGAAGTGAGAAGACAGCAGGATGGAGATGTTGGGGAAATGGCAAACACTATGCCAAGTGATTCCAGTTGACAGACTGTTGCAAAAAAAGAGGGAATAGTGAGAGGGGGTAAAGAGAGGTAGAGAGAGAATCAGATTGTTTCAGAAATGAATAGAGGCAGTGTTTAAGAGCCAAAACTGCCGTTAGGACTATAATGCCTCTATTTTATCCAAGGTAAGATCATTAAAGCTACTTCGGCCTGGCCATGGAGATTGGGTTCCACACACAAGGAGGCAGTGAAGAATTTCCACAATTAAGAATCTGAGGAGAGATGGTTTCAGGGTGAGATTAGTCCTGATGTCCAGGCCCTGATAGGTCCCACCATCACATGTCTGATGTTTTGGAAAAATTCACGTATCATAAACAAAGAAATATGCATGCAGCAACTTCAACACCCTTACAAAGCACTGTATCAGACACTGAATAATCTTATATGAGTGTAATCATTTAAAAAAAAAAAAAACTCTGAGACTGAGTTTAAAATGAAGTCACGCTAACTGTAGCTTGTTATGTGAAACTTTGTTGTGTGTTTTTGAAAGTAATCAATGGTGCCTGAAAACTGTAATGGTAAGCTTAAGTTTCCTCATTGAGGCAACTTTGCATTAGCAAGACGTTTTGCATAAACAGGTTAAACACTTGACTCAAGAAGCCGTGAGAAAATGCCAGAGGGAGCTGGAGTGACAAGTGTCAGCAGGTAGTCTAAGGCAAGCCCAGACTTCACAGTAACGGCTGGCTTTGGCTCTCACTCAACTCCCCAACCCTTCAGTTAAAGAAGTAGCTGGGACATTATGCATATCACCCTGCAGTGCAGACAAGGTTTAGGTGTTTTAATTTAATTTAAATGCATTAAGTTGTCCGAGGTTTAATTTAAATAAAGTTAAACAACAGATGTTGGATTACATATAAGTGTAAATACATGTGAAAACACATTTTGAATGTTCAGGGTGGGAAACTAGTAATGAGGATTTGACAGTTATAAAACTGGGCACTAGTTGGGATCAATAACTGAGAAGCAGAGAATGGATTTCTGGAGGAACTATACCTACAAGGTGTGTGGAAAGGGGAAACAGAGGTCAAAATCCCAGTACTTGTAACACAACTTCACTGTCAGACCAGTGTGTTTCAGCTTGTGGCCTTAGTCATGACTGCTTGAATTTAGGAGAATATAGCCTTAAATGTAATATATTTATTTAAATTATTTTTCTTAATTAAATTACCTCCAGCTTATTTGTCCGGCACTGGGCAATGCATTTCTGAAATATTTAAAATAAACTAGTTCTTGATGCATTTTGTTTCTTTTCAGTGAAAAACTTAAATTATTGTTGATGTCTAATGGTGGTCATTTTGACAAAGATCGTGATTATTCTTAATTGAACTGACAAGGTGTTCAGACTTTACCAGCCAGCACAATAGTAGATATATGTATTTAGCTTCAGATAGCTTCAGATATTTTTACTGATTTAAATCAGTCTGTATTCTGTAAAGCATAAACTATATTGAAAAAATCTGACTTAATATCATGCATTGGGCTATGCATCCGCTGTTTCACTGCACCCCTCTTTCTGGTGGCGTTGTAGTTGTCCTACAGTGCCCTATAAAGCAGCCCATTGACCTTCACTTTTTATAATTCAATTTTATAATTCATTTTGTCCAATATAAAGCAGAGTACTGTATATTTTGATGTAGATATATATCCTGTGATATTTTAAGTAGTACAGTATTGTAAGCTCATATTGTAAGTTACTAATCACCATATTCTAGTTCTAGCATGAGATATAAAGTGATGTGCCTCCAGTTCTCTATGAAAATATTGATATTTTGGTATGTAATGAAATTGTCCTTAGTTACATTGTTTGGGTTTTTCAGGTGATACAAAACTATGAGTACCATAGTTTAATGTATCAGAGAGGGAAGTATTTGTTTCTATCTGTGTGGGCGGGAGCATGTCTGTATCTGGCATGTGATGTCACTACAGCGAAGCCCTGAGGCTATTGTCCAGGTACAGTCACAGTTTCAGTGGGTAATTTAAGCGCAGTAAGTATCTCTGCGGGATCATCAGTGAGTCAGGCGTGTTCGGACATGACACAATATCACATGACAAAAACAGGAACCTGACGTCTACACGAGTATGCAGAATGTGATGAAAGAGATCTTTTGTAGCAGTGTGGCATCAAGAGTGTACAATATCTTTACATATCAAAAAACGTATGGTCCCTGTTCTTTTCTGTTCTCAAGACACAGATATTTGCCTTCTTAGAATGTTTTTTTCTTATGTTGGTGACGTAGGAAGTAATGTGGGCTAAAACAAGCCACACATAATGGCAAAGGCTGTAAGCCATTTTGGTTTGCGAGAAAGGGAGTGGTTGAGGATTTGTGTTTTGGCCAGGGGACGCTTTCACTTCCTTGTGTTTACTGATGGCAATATTTGGACTTTTTTTTTACTTTGAACAAAGCACAGGAACAACTTTTGCTTTCTTATTTTTTATTAATTGTTTAACTTCCTAATACATGTTGTCTCCATCATCCGTCACACGACTACACTCTATAGGCTTCAATCATTTGTACAATTTGTGAAACAAAAACAGTAACAACAAAATCTAAAGAAATAAAATAAATGTAGTCAGAATTGATAGAAAGTGTAGTGTGAACAAACATCAACCTACAGCCGACAGCAGTAGCTCATGGAAACCGGTCAGACTGGCTTTTGCTCCCATGACAGGTGAATGTTAAGCAAGGTGCTCTGCAAGTGTCTACATGTTTATTTCCAGGATACGGTCTTATCAAGAAGCCAGGATGCACCTGCAGCATATATAGGGAACTCCCTAAATAATGGCCATGTTTGGTGTGTATGAAAACACATCCTGTTATTCAGAAATCCATGTACTCATCAAACAACACTTGTGTATAAGATAATATACTACTTGACTCCATAAATATAATACGAAATTTAGTGTACCACTGAAACTTAACATTTATGCATTAATGACACTCTCGTATGTGATTTAGTTTGAATCAAAGTCTCAGCTACACATAAATTATACACTGCATTAAGTAAAATTCAATATCCTGTTCCTGAAATTTGATTAAAAAAAACTAAAGGCCCCCCTCCCCACATTTTATTGTAGGTAAATTTAATGCTTCATAAAAAAAGGCACTTTAGTACACAAAGCTCAGCTGTATCAAGGTGCAAATCCAAACCTTGAAAGTTAATCATAACATTTTAAAGTCAGATCCACACAAAGCCGAAAGCAAAGATACATATTTTACACGTTTTTGTTAAAAGTCAGCATTTTGTAATAGTATGGTTTGTGCTGACAGATGTCTTCAAGTTAAAAATTTTGCGAAAGTTAACTGACTGATAATTTTCTCAGCAACAGATTGAGTAAGATAACGTCTAACCCATACTAACGGGACTGTTGGTGTGATGTTATCGGTGAGTTTTTGAAACTAAAGTAATGGATTGTCCATAGCAACACCCAAATGTCTGGCTTCAGGCTGAATCTGTGTTGCTGCTCTGCATACTATTACAGAGCAACCACACAATACCTTTTTATTGTATGTTTCATAATGATGAGCGGTAACTTCACTGCCAGAATGGAGCTGTTTCGGGTCAGTTATGGTATTGTGTTGTATAGCAGGGTATTTTTCACCTTGTTTTTTCATTCAAACCTGTTACCAGGGTGTTGCTTAGCTAGCCGTTGCTAAAGGTTAATGTGGTGGAGGATGCAATAGTCAGTCATGTCTGTTGTTATCAAGCCGTATCTGGTTTTATCTGACTTTATCTGGCAATCCACAGAGTTGCACTGTGTTCTGAACACTGGCTGTGAGGCGTTCCAAGAGACAGAAATGTTTTTTCTTGGAAGTAGGAACTCCCTAATATTGAGCACTCCCCGTACAGGGACGGCTGACAGGTGCAAATTAAAACCAAAGGGAGAAAGGTACATTTGACTTATATTTTAATATTGTGTGTGTTAGGCTCTTGGTCGAGACAATAGTTGTGGGATAAATACAGTTTAGAAAGGCATCAGAAGCTGCCATATATTAAACTCCACCCCTTTAAGCATCTTATAGAGCACTTTTCAAACCCTTTTACACGGTGCTTCACATGTACAAGGCGAGACATTATAATCTTTATCTCATAAGCTCATAAAAACAATCCAGCAATATATAAAAACACATAGAAATAGAAAACAAGACCATTAAAAAAACTCCTGTAAAATCTCTGATAAAAGTATGTTTTCAGAAAAGATTTAAAAGATGCTGCAGACTTGTGTATGTAAACAGTAAAACATATCAGAAATGCACACATGCACTACACCGTTAGTGTAGTTAAACAGACAGGTGCAAACCTGCAAAATCAGACAAACACAACACAGACTGAATGCAGTGTGGCTCCCCCTGTCTGTAACAACATACACATACAGTACAATGCACATGAACAGTTACAGTCTCTTGAAAGGAACGTGTTAAGTCTCCCATGTCTATCTCAAAGTGCAGAGATCGTATGGCCTGTTTCTGATCTCTCAGATGTTTTAACTTTCTCCTTCCACTTCTTCACCATAGCATCTTTTTTATATATAATAAATACATTCAACAGCATTTCTTAAAACTGTGTTCTTGGATTTTGCAGGGTGTTTTTTTGCTCCTGGTTATAACTGAATGGGATTGTTATCAAAGGAAATCTTCATTATGGTGCGTTTAATGGACATCGAGTGACTTGCAGCCCTCTCTTTGGTATTTAGGACTCAATAGATACCTGGAGAAATGTCTTTAAAGTTAAACAAATATCCAAGCTGATGGGAGAAATTCAGACACATGCTTTTGATTGGGAAAAAAAGCTTATTCTTTTTACTGAAGTAAACCAAATACACTCACAATAATGTGATTTGCCATTTAAATGGAGCAGATTCTCTCAGGTTCCTGTCAAGTGTGTGTGTGTGTGTGTGTGTGTGTGTGTGTGTGTGTGTGTGTGTGTGTGTGTGTGTGTGTGTGTGTGGGAGGATGGGAGTGTGTGTCTGCAGAGGGCATAAACCACAAGATACCAGAGATACTCATCCTGACCACTGACCCCAGGTGACCTCTGTTAATTAGAAGAAAGCCTGTAATCATACAGAGCTCGTCTGTCAGCCAACCTCAACAGCCCTGTTGTCTTTAAACAACAACATATTTAGAAGATATTACCACCCGTTGAGGTATTCTTTGATTAATTTAGCATGCATCATGATAAAAGGGTGCTGTTGACTCACATAAAGACAGAACAGCTGCTGTACAGTATTTCATGAATGCTGTACAGGGCTATGTGCTTATTCATTTTTAAACCAGCTGGATATTTCAGGGCCTTTTACATTTCCTTATTTTATTTAAGCCAAATTTCCCTGGGCCCAGGGTTGTCACTCTCTTTTTCCTTTAATCCAATTTGACTATTCCTTAAAGCCTACTTTCACGCAGTGTCTAATTTACACGTGTCTTACCGTTAAGGAGTTGAGGGCCCAGTCTCCATTAATCTTGCATAGTTCTTTAGCTCACCTTCTCGTTACTAATTAGGCTATTCTACATCTATTCCTTATCCTTTACCTTATATCTTATCCTATTTTTCTATCTTCCCTAATTACACTCACACTCCCCCCTGTTGCGGCGTCTACAACGCAACACAATTTAGAACGGAATCTCTCCCCAAACATCAACACAGCATGGCACACACAAACCAGGTCCTTCACGGTGTGACCAGACAGCACACACACACAACCTCAACGAACGAACCAGCGCCCAAATTTGTGAGTAAATGATCACCCTATTTGCCGGCATTTGATGCGGGAGTCAGTACGTTGAAGTCGTCAGCGAGGCAGCAGGTCACAGCATGTCCGGAGTTCGTGACGCCAAATTCTTGTTGTATATTGAGTAGTGATGATGTGAAGATGTGTTGAAGAGAAGTCCGCTGACACCGTCTTGATTGTATATATAAAGGTTATTTACAAAAAGTTCAGCATCAATACAAGCATCAAGGAGCTTGGAGAGCATCCAGCCAAATGAACAACTCTGTCTATTTTGCATCGAACATAGGTTTATATAGGCCTGTTGTTTACTCCAAAAATGGAAAGAAACATCTGGATCCAATCCAAATATGTAAGGTAATAAGGGGAGATGGGGGTTTTCAAAGTAGAGGTCAGATGCCATTGAGAGGCCCCTAAAACATTCCATAGTAAGAATGATGTCATTGAACCTCATGAACTTCTAACGCTACATATGGTAACAAAATATAATTTGAATTTATACCAAAATGTAATTTAACTTTATAAGCCTTAAGATAAGCCTTCAGATACTACACACCTCTCTACAGATATAATTAGAATGAAATCACTGTAATTTAAGGTTTTTGTTCAGTAGAATCTTTTAGCCCAAAACTAAATGTGCTCTCTGTCCTTTGACGTTCCCAAAAATGATCATACACAAACAGGGTATATACCGAAGGGATTAGTTCTGCAGCCGAGCTACCATTATGAAGAGCTACCATGTATTTAAGGCTTGACGTCTGCAGTGGTGATTCAAAAGACTATTTTCGGCTTAAGTCATGATCTAGCAGGCTGACATTCTCAGTGCATTTTTAGTTTATTTAGATATACAACCAGAGAAAGTCCATTTTAAGGAAAATACCTCAAACATGCCCACTAACAATAAGGCCTGTTAACTAAAACCCAGTGTGTGTGTTTTTTCTCCCAAGAGGGATTATGTAGCTGACCAACAAAAAACAAGGCCTGTCATTGTTGCTCTTTTTTTCTTGCACGGAGATCTCATTCAGATGGTGATTCAGCGTTTTTCTTCAAGGTTGTCACATGTCACATACACCGATACGTACTCTTTTTTAAATTCAAAAGACTTAAAAGGAACACAGGTAAAAGCATCTTTACATAGTATAGTATAATCAGTACATAAATGATTGCTGGAAGTTGCTTCTGTGTAAAAGTGGTTTGGATTTAAGATAACACCATCTTTCAGAATCCATATGTATTCAATATGTTTATTGTTATCTAAGAGTCTACAGGGACAAAATATGTTTTCAGAAATAATTTTTCTTTGGTTTTCATTTATGACTCCAATTCCAGCTGAACACAATTTAGTAAGAAATATTGAAGTACCCCCATTTGCAAGTGTAGTTTGAAGGTAAACATGATGCCACCTTAAGCAGACTCCACCTTCAGTCGTCTAAGCTGTATAAAGAAGGTAGAATCTGTTTCTCCCTCTCACTTTCTCTCTCACTAAAAGTCTTACGCAGGACTTTGAGCCAGCGAGATCCGATATCGCCTTCATCTCAGGAGGGTTGTGCCTGCGGACACAGAGGGCCTTCTATCCCTGGAAGAGAGTCTTGTTCAACTCCTTCTTCATCCCCAACTCCAAATATGTACTCTGCAGGCTTGGAGATCCTTGGGATGATCCTGGCTGTGGCCGGCTGGCTGGGGGTAATGGTGGCCTGCGGCCTGCCCATGTGGCGGGTGGCTGCCTTCATCGGTCAGAACATTGTCATCTCCCAGGTAATCTGGGAGGGGTTGTGGATGAACTGTTCGGTGCAGAGCACAGGCCAGATGCACTGCAGGGTGCATGACTCCATGCTGGGGCTGCCAGTGGACCTTCAAGCAGCTCGTGCCTTGGTCATTGTCTCAATGGTACTGTGCATTGTGGGCATTGGTCTGTCAGTGGCTGGCGCCAAGTGCACCAACTGTAGTCGGGATGTGAGTAGTAAACCACGGCTCGTGGTGGCTGCTGGAGTAACCTTTGTTATAGCCGGACTGCTGTTGCTGGTGGCTGTGTCCTGGACAGCGCATGCCATCGTCATAGGCTTTTACGACCCACTGTTGGAGGAGACGGGGAAGAGAGAGTTTGGTAATGCTCTGTACTTTGGCTGGGCAGCCTCCTGCTTGCTCATCCTAGGGGGAGCCCTGCTCTGTTGCTCCTGCCCACCCATAGCAGCTACAGCGCAGAGTAGTGGAGGCTCCGCGCCTCCCCGGATGAACTACTCACCTGTCAAAACCATGTCAGTTAATGGATACACCAGAAGAGACTATGTATGAACATGTGACATGTAGGCGCAGATGAAGATACGATGACAAGTGTTAGCATATTTTTGGATGTTACTGCAGCATCTTGGGCTTGGACATTAAGTATGAATCACTGATGCATATCTCATTATGTGTTTTTGTAAGGACACTTTTTCTGTAGTGGTGGACATCATATGTTGCTTTTAATATTTTATTTCAAATATTAATACATTTAACTCTAGATTTTGGCTTTTTTCTAAGAAATAAGATGATGTCTGATCTTAAATGTATAGAATGTCTCTATGTATATTATTTCTGATTAAAACAAGGGTTTTTACAAAATTATCAATAAAAAAACGAAACATCTTTAAGAATTTTACTCATTTTTAGGCATTCTTTACGGTGGAGATCATTTTAATGCTACAGAGTCTGAGACTGATGCTTTAATTAAGTGTAACATAATAACTATGCCTGCATACATTCTTTTGGTTTGCAGAAACAGAGGCGGATGCCAGCTGTAGAGAGTCTGACCAATAAGAACCATACTGGTACGTCAAAATGAGGTATTTTATTTCCACGTAAATGGAGAAAATAAACAATGGGTGGCTTGTTCCAGAAGAGCACCTTATGCTCCCCTTCCATTGTAGCCTGCCATTTGTGAGAGCGAAACTGAGTAAGAGATAAAAGTCTCCATCTGCGAGGGGATGTAACCCGCACTGTAACCGAGTCCAAACTAAGCCACAAAGACTCTATTGATCAGGTGGTTTGCAACTGTTTACCTTCCTCCTCAGGTGGGATTCACCAGAATAAATTTCCATGCTCAAAGAGTCACTGGAAATGTTCAAATATCTAAATGGCAAAACAAAACCGAGTACATCATTTGTTGTAGAAACTTGGTAACACATCAGCAGGTAGACAGTGGGCCTGCTGCATTTAGGGTCACCAACAACGTGAAGAACAAGAAACAAAGATACAGGTTGAAAATATTTCTTGCTTTCTTAACTTGTTGTGGCTTCAGCAATGAGGTTAATGATCTAAAGGCTAACCTTCTAGATATCCTGAACACTCACTTTGAATGTCCACAGACCGTGCTGGGAGGATTGTATTACTGAGCCAAGCTGTGCAGTCATGTGTTAATGGGGAGTGCAACAGCTGAGTTAGAGATAAAGACAAAATGCATTGTCTACCATAAGAGCACCAGCTCCCACTTCATAGGAGTGAAACAAAATGCAAACAAACAATGGTAGTGTTGCTGAAATACGGAACTCTGTATGAAGTACTGTCTGAAGTACGATGTGTACAAATATGAGCACATCACTTCATGGCCTCAATTAACCATCAGAAACTTGTGACATAATGTTGGCTTTTTGCACAATCATCAAATACTCCTGTGTTTAAAAGCATTGTAATGCTTGTCACTACAGTCACCACATCACGTTGCCTCATTTTCTTTACAATGTCTTTCTTTTTTGTAACCTGTACAAATCAACAAAGGTTCTGTGCAGATTCAGTGCAGTGTATGATGAGGGGAAACTGGTAAAATTACTGGAGGTTTGCGTCTTTTTTTGTGGCACACGCAAAAGTTAAACTGAGGCTGAAACTCCTGATGAACTGTGACCTTCAGAACAAGGACAATGATAAGACCCCCCCCACCACCACCACCACCCTTGTGCAAACGTACACAGACAATTGTTACAATTACAATTATTACACACGTCTTTGTCTTGAGAGACATGCATAGGATATTCATAAATGATTGTCATCAGAGTCCCGTGTGCCTTCCACATGCATACTGAGCCCCCCCCCTGTTGTTTGCATGGCAGTTCCTGCATGTGGTCTGAGTTATTAACTTCCCATGCTAGGGAGCTAGGAAAAGTTTCTAGCTTCTCATAGTGCACACATCCCAACATTGTTATTTAACATTTCATCATCTTGTGGTTTCTACATGAAATTAATTTAGGTTTTGTTCTGATATTTGAAAATCTCTTTTGTGTGGAGAGGAATAATGGGAACGACTTCTATTTAAGGAGTGTGTGTCAGAATACTTGCTCACTAAAAAAATCTGTCAGGCATTGTTACTGGAAGGATTGTGGGTGTTGTCTCTCTCAAAAATGTCTGAAATAGATTTTCATAACTCTTCACCTACTTACTGCAATATTTGCACTCGTCTTTAATCAGTATTTTGAACCCAGTATTTATTAATTCACCAAAACAAGGTCCTGGTTTTAGTTTCTCTATGACAAAATTGTTGATAACGCTGATATACTTGAAATTTCTCCAGAAACACCAATGTTTCCTTCTTGGTCTCAAGTAACCATCAGAAACTTGTGACATAATGTTGGCTTTTTGCACAATCATCAAATACTCCTGTGTTTAAAAGCATTGTAATGCTTTTGACTACAGTCACCACATCACGTTGCCTCTTTTTCTTAACAATGTCTTTCTTTTTTGTAAACTGTACAGATTGACAAAGGAGCTGTGCAGATTCAGTGCAGTGTATAATAAAGGAATCTGGTAAAATTACTGGAGGTGTGGGTCTTTTTTTGTGGCACACGCAAAAGTTAAACTAAGGTTGAAACTCCTGATGAACTGTGACCTTCAGAACAAGGACACTGATAAGACCCCCCACCCTTGTGCACACGTACACAGACAATTGTTTCAGCTTCCAAAACACTTGCTCGCTTTCTCTTTATATGACTTGTCCTGAGAATCATCATTACAAACATGTCTATGTCTTGAGAGACATGCATAGGATATTCATAAATGATTGTCATTAGAGTCCTGTGCCTTCCACATGCATACTGAGCCCCCCCTCGTTTGTGTTGTTTGCATTGCAGTTCCCGCATGTGGTCTCAGTTATTAACTTCCCATGCTAGGGAGTGAGGAAAAGTTGTTTTTAGCTTCACATAGTGCACACATCCCAACATCTTTTCTGATATTTGAAAATCTGTTTTCTGGGAACAGCTTCTATTTAAGGACTGTGTGTCAGAACAGTTTGCTCGCTAAATGACTCTGTCAGGCATTGTTAAGGATTGTGGGTGTTGTCTCTCTCTCATATTTTGAAATAGCTTTTCTATAACTCCTTACCCACTTACTGCAATATTTGCACTTGTCTTCAGTCAGTATTTTGAACCCAGGATTGATTAATTCTCCCAAGCAAGGTCCTGGTTTTATCTTCTGTATGACAAAATTGTTGATAACACTGATATACTTGAAATTTCTCTAGAAACACCCACAGCTAAAAACATTTAATTTCCTATCATAAGAGATGATGGCTACAGTAAATGGAAGTCAGGCTTTCCATAGAACTTGGGATGATGGTTTTATCAAATTTGTTGGAAGGCTACAGAGGCTCTCCCCAGACAGATACAAACACTCTTCAGATATTAAGAGCACTCCCACTTAAACCCCTTCCCACCACTTCCAACATATCTTTCTCTCTGCCTCAGCTTCAAACAAAATATATATAATTGAAGTAAAATATGATTCACAACGTTGTTCAACAACACAAAACAGAAAATGATGGAATATTTTTGTTTGGATTCAATTCAGATTTCTAAACACCTGTCAAACAGCATTACAATGAGAAACCTGCAGGAGCTGATATGGTGCCTTCCACTTTCAATCATTCATCCACTGATCTTTACCATGTCTGTTATCCTTTAACTACTCCAGACCTGGGATACACACCCTCTGTTTACTCTCCCCTCACCCAAACAGGTGGGAGAGCTACCGGGACAGAGGAAGTTGAATGATTAATCTGAGGCCATTTACATGCCAAGGCTGGGCTTTTGGTCATTCAAACAAGGTGGGACAGAAGGTGATTTGAACTCTTCCCTGGCCAATAACCAAGTGACTCCACCTTCTGCTCTAAAGAAATTTGCTGCTTATATGAGCCATCAGCTCACAGGAGAAGACTCATTCAAGCTACTTCTGAGATAGAGAAGACTTCTGTGCACTTTGACTTACACAGAGTTCAGACATGCCTTCAGTGGGACTGGAGATACTTGGAGTGACCCTAGCTGTCCTGGGATGGATCCTAGCCATTGTATCCTGTGCCTTGCCCATGTGGAGAGTGTCAGCTTTCATTGGGATGAACATTGTCACAGCCCAGATCACCTGGGAAGGCATCTGGATGAACTGCGTGGTCCAGAGCACTGGTCAGATGCAGTGTAAAATCCACGACTCCATGTTGGCTCTAAGTGCAGATCTTCAGGCCGCCCGTGCCCTCACCATCATTTCGATTTTGGTGGGCATTTTGGGACTTCTGGTGGCCATGATGGGGGCAAAATGCACCAACTGTGTGGAGGAAGAGTTAGCCAAGGCTCGGGTGATGATAGCTGCTGGGGTGGCCTTCATCCTAGCGTCTCTAACCCAGCTGATTCCTGTGTCGTGGTCTGCCCATACTATTATCATGGAGTTCTACAATCCAGTTATACCCGAGTCACAGAAGAGGGAGATTGGTGCAGCTCTGTACCTGGGCTGGGCTGCAGCCGCATTTCTTCTCATTGGAGGGGGTATCCTTTGCTCCAGTTGCCCCCCGCAACCTGAGAAAAGGTACGGGCCTCCATCAAAGATAATGTACGGCCAAACCAGGTCGACCGCCCCAAGTGTCCACGATAGGAGGGACTACGTCTGAACTCGCACCTGCTCTTTTCTCACGCCTTCTCCATCATGGAAAAGACAGTAATTTTTTAAATAACTTATACACATCTATCTTTATGTTGAGATGGGGAAAACTCTGATATTCATTCCACCATGTAATGTAAGCTTTTTTTCAACAGAGCTTACACCAAACTGGTTTTCCTTTGTCAATTTTTTGTGCGTGACTTTGAGCTGTTGGAAGTACTGAGGCTAACAACTATATGTTAGTGATGTGGTGTGCCCTGTATTTTATACTTTCTGAAAACAATAAGTATAATGTGTGATGCAAATTTGGAGAATAAGTGAATCTGTATTGTACCTTTTTTTTTTACTGTTATCGTTGTGTCTGTTTTATAAAGAACTTTCAGTTTGTTCAGCCTGTCATAAAGCCACACAATGCAGATTGTTATTATCCATTTTGTAAATCAGTTCATCTGAAATGTTTTGATGTCTGACATGTTACTTTATTGTGATTAAAAGTACGTTTTTTAACTTAAGTTGTTTTGGTCTTTCAAACTTTTTCAGATTTTCTTTTTCATTGTTATTATCGAGGCTGAAAGTATGAGGGAAATCATATAAAATACAATACAATAATCAATACGTTTTTTGGGCCTATTTTCTTGTCATGTCATGGTCAGTCGCACATTCGGCTATACTTCACAAAACTGACACCCATTGTGAAATTCAACACATTCAAAAATAGATTCAGTAAGATGTTTGATCTTCACATCAACAGGTGCAAAGAAAATGTCTGATTCCATGCACCCTGCATACCCAGTCATTAGGTTGACGACTGGGAGTCTCTATCACACCACCTATCCACCTGGCTGTCTCCCATATGTCTGTTGGTTCTATGATAACAAGAACCGCTACTTTGTCAGCTTCCCCACACTCAACTATCTGAACTGCTCTCCTAAACAATGGACCTGTTTCATGTCACAGGGGGAGACTGGGCGGGCTGTCAACATTGGGTTACAGAATGCCACGGGGGTGGGGGCATTTCTAGGGAGACAGTCCCAGCCCAGAAGAATTTCAAGGGCATTCTGTAGACAGACAGAGTCATTAAGGCCCATCAAACATAACACTGTTGTCAGGTGAAAGCCTCATAACTCCAACTCGAAGTGATCCTTAAACTGAAGACGTTCGTACTCCTGTAAAGTTTAACAAAGTTCCTCTATCCATGGTCTTATGACAACTTTTCAAATCCTCTGTTCTTGATTTAAAAAAAAATAAACTGCAGTTAAGCTGAAAGCAAGATAGGGTTTTTTTTTAACATCCTGAAGCACTGGCATTTTGGAGATGGGAGGTTTTTTACTACACAGTGACAATAAAAAGGTTAGGAGGCTGTTACTGAGGAACAGAGGTCCTGCATAAACAAGCCTGGGCTGATTATGAAGAAGTGATATATAAGTTATTTAAAACTGAAACAAGAGTATTTCAGTAATAATTAAATGTATTGCTTTCTAATAAACTGTAAATACACAGATTCTGAAAAGGCAGATTCCATTTATAACTTGATATAGCCGATAAAGATAAAAAACAAATATATCAATCAACTTTTTCTTGTAGAACAGCTGAACATAAAACTGGATACCCTTATTTTCAATCATACAATAAGCCCTAATCCACCTGAGAAGTGTTACTTTGGTTATAACAACATATGCAAAATTTGCGTGCCCTTTCAGCTGAAAAGGCCTCTTTGTGGCGAGGCCCATTGTGAAGCTGGCCATGTAAGCCGATAGCAGTGTGTCCAGGTCCTTCCTCCCCTTTTGGTGATGTAAGCTCCTTGAAGGACTCCTCCCCTCCACCTGATCTGCCTTATAAAGGATACTGGTGAAGTCGAGGCAACAGATCATCACACACTCACAGATGCAAGGCCTGAAATTAAGTTAATTAGTAGTTGGGTCTTTGTTTGACTCTTCCCCTTTTTCTGTGATCTCCTCTCAGGTGTGACACATATTCAGCAGCAGAAGAGGAAGACTTTTCAGTATGTCTATAGGGTTGGAGTTGATAGGCATCTCCCTATGCATTTTGGGATGGATTATTTCCATTGTGGCGTGCGCCCTCCCGATGTGGAGGGTGACAGCCTTCATCGGCAGTAACATCGTGACGGCTCAGATCATCTGGGAGGGCCTGTGGATGACTTGCGTGGTCCAGAGCACGGGCCAGATGCAGTGTAAGGTCTACGACTCCATGCTCTCCCTCTCCCAAGACCTCCAAGCTGCCCGTGCCCTCACCGTCATCTCCGCCCTGTTAGCCATCCTCGCTGTGCTCATCGCAATCGCCGGGGCCAAATGCACCAACTGCATTGACGATGAGGCATCCAAGTCCAAGGTGATGATCATCTCTGGGATTTTCTTCATTGTTTCTGGGGTCATGCAACTCATTCCTGTCTCCTGGTCGGCCAACACCATAATCAGGGACTTCTACAACCCTTTACTTACTGACGCTCAGCGGAGGGAGCTGGGGGCTTCACTGTACATCGGCTGGGCTGCTGCTGCCCTACTAATTCTTGGTGGTGCACTTCTCTGCTGCTCCTGCCCGCCACGTGAGACCAGATACAACCCTTCACGAATGGCTTACTCTGCCCCACGGTCTGCAGGTGGCCCAGGGCTAGAAAGGAAAGACTATGTATGAATGAAGGTCAAAGAGGAAAAGACCTTATTGAATCTCAAACCTGCTCTCCACATCAAACGGGGTGTACTGAAGAAAAGAGCTCAAGGAAATAAGGAGACTCCGTAATGAAGGATGTGTTTGATTTTTGCCCTTTATGTAACATATCTCTGAATTAGACTCTGTCTTTCAGAGGCTGAAAAAGCATGCAAAGGACAGGATGAGCAGACATTTCTTTAAAACATGTTTCAAAATGAAAAGCAAACAATTATGCGCTGTCATATTAAAAGTCAACATGCTAAATGTTTTCATCAGTGTACACTTATATACTTTTTATACAGTACTGGCTTCTTAATGTTTACCACTGAATTTTTTTATACAAACCACCATGACTGCTTCATGTGTCACCTTTATAACGAGGCACCACTGCATGCAAAATTCAAGAATTGGATGTGTTAAATGGTAAAACAGGGTTATCAACAAGATTATGTGTTGTAAATACAGTAGTAAGAGTATCATTATTCACCTGTAGGCCTAACAGTCAAGACAGATGATAACTGTATTCAACGCAGCTTTTGGCTCATTGTGGTAAAGGGGGGAGGATGAAATGTGCACTGAGGCAGCACAAAAGCACCTGGATTCATCCATTACAAGAAATTATCTCTGTGTATTATATACAACTGCAGTACATGTATCTCACAAGTGTTATTTTTTAATAAACGTGACGTGTTTTTTAATATACTGTATGTCTTATTGTGTTTCATTCAAAAAATAAATTACCTTTTAATTTGCTTATGCTTTAAAGTCCCCCTCCAAAAATATGTTTTTCTTCTTGTTCCAGTTGGATGTTTGAGCTTCACTGTGCAGAATGATGTATTTGCAGAGTTTGACACTAGAAGGATGTTTTCACATTCGTCTTTGGAAAGTGGAAAGTTTCTCTGTGCTCACTGACAATCTTTTTGATTTTAAGGGGCGGGGTCAAGGAGCATGATTTAACAAATAGTTTGGAAGTCAATCCTGATCCAGTATGCAACTTATACAAGTGTGATGTAGAAACTTGAAGCCACCAGTGCACATACACTGAGAATAGACTTTATAGTGAAGTAGGAGACATATTGTGTCCAGCAGGTTTAGAAATGAACTAAATTTGCATATTTATAGATTCTAGCAGTAGGAAGGACTAGATGACTTTTTAAGGATCTTAATGGGTAAATTATGCTTTTTTTTTGTGGAAAAAACATATCAGACACACATTGTTATTGTTCCAAGAAGACTATTTGTATATGTAGTTATACATAACTGGAGGAGATCATTAAGATCATGCTCCATTTAAGATTTTGTAACAGCATATTCACTCGAGCATGAGACATTAAGCCGGTACCAAAAATGACGCCGTCCGTTCTATCCAGGTGCCTTCGTAAGAGTACCCTGACATTCAATACCGAGGGCTACGTTACCAGCAACTGGCAACTTAACCACACACGCTCTAAACAATTAGCCACTGGATCAGTTACCGGGCAGAGGTGAGAAGTGTGAGCACAGAGGAGTGGAGTCTTTCCAGACAGGTTACATGATTTATTCGTTTTTTACCCTTTAGACTTTAGTTATCATTGGATGCTTGGCTTTCCAACACCCTGCCACATACTTACACTATTACACACATTCATTTATGGGAGCTGCCCGGTATCATCACAAACTTCTACTGCCGGCCTCTGAACTAGTGAAATTAGAAATGCCTCATGCACCAAATTCTTTGCTCAAAGTCGTCCAGTGAACCAGCCTTGATCGTCCCAACTAGAAGCTTACGGATATATCTCACTTCCCATCAGTCTTCCACTGTCTTGTTTAATATGCTATCTCTGTGATCTTAGTGTAATGATGAGATACAGCAAAGCAGCACGTTGTTATCTAGACTCTGGCACATTAAAAAGACCAATCAGACAGAGTTTCCATGACAGACATGAGTCAAGCCTTTCAGTCTATTTCAAAAACACATGCAGTCACACCTGACAAAGGAAGCGACTTGAAAATTTAATGAACATCTCATAGTAAATATGGGAGAGGTCCCTTTGGCTGTATCCCATTACTTCCTAACAGTTGCCTTTTACCTCCATATCAATGTCGCCTCTCACAAAGGACAAGGAACAGCTTGACATCTGGTCATGATACAGATTAGAGCTTGTTATAATTCTGATAAGCATTCAATAAGTTTTCATTTTAGGGCTTTTTTGAGGAACCCTACTAGGGATTGCCAAGGCATATATCTCAGCATGTCGTTAATTTCTGGGAAGACAACAAATTAAATAGTTCATTTTAAAGTTTAAATTATTATTTAAGATTTCAACTTTGAAGATCTGAACTCACGCTTTGATAAATAGTCTTGTCCTGCATTAGAAGAGTACAAAGTTAAAACAATCAAAGAACTAATAGAACAATGGCCAAGTTTCAGGGAGAAGAAAACACTGAATTTGTCAGAAGAAAAGACGTCTATTAGGTATGTATGATTGTTAAAAATGACTTTAAAAAAATACATAATAGAGAAAACGTAGCTCTGTTGCAATATTCACAGGAAATAATCTTCTAATAATTCATTTAAATTGCTTGTTTTACACAAACTCCCTGAAGTTATTGTGTTCACTATTTGTACAGTTGTTCTACACTGTTATTGTTATGCATTGAATACAATATAAAATATCCATAAAATGTCTCTAATTCAGGGGTTCACTTAGTAAAAGAAAAGGCTGAGAACTACTAATTTAGGCAACAGTATTTATTTGCTGATTAAAATTGACTGTTTTCTCAATTTCTATATGGAAATTAAACAAACTGCAACACTACTCCACATTTTAAAATCTCTACAAGTGTTGTAGAGATTACATATACTGTAACTCTAACCAAAACATAACTGAACAGCAAATACATTGAGGTCTTCCACACAGAGGCGTGACAGAGCATCATGATGGAAGCTCGTGTTTACCAGTGAGCAGCAATTCCCGTGCTGTTCCAGTGAATTGTCTAAGACCCTCAGGCATGTTTGGTCATTGTTAAGCTAATCATTGATTATTAGGTATACTTCACAGCCATCCAGAATTACACAGTTTCCTGTTTCTAAATGGCAGCATATCAACTGAAACACTTTTTGAAACACACTATTTGAAATGTTTCAAATGTGAGTTTAAGAGGGAGAGAGTGAGGTTTTGAAACCAACAAAAGTAAGCAAACAGCAATCTAGTAAACCAAAAGCTCCTGAGGCTATGGTGAAACTGAATCTCATCAAATACCTAAACCTGGCTGACTGTAAAAAAAAAAAAAAAAAAGAAAGAAGATAGGAAAGAAAAAAGGCATTCTGTGAGTCTTACTGGTCATGCTCTGCTGGCTCTGGCCAAACTCTGGTCACATGACCGAAACTGGGGAATGTGAAGGGCAGAGAGGTTGCCTGGCACCTGAAGTCAAAAAGAGAAAGCAACCCCCCCCTCTCCCTCCCTAAAAATAACACAGGCTCACTGTGTCCACTCAGTGGGAATGGAAACTGGCTGAGGTTTCTTACCTACAACAGCAAGAAATCTAAACCACAACAAAAGGATTTGATTCAACGAGAATGCTTCTCTCCGAATCAAAGTTACAGAACGATATAGGTTGTTCTGTTCGTCCTGATATAAGAAAACATTCTCACAAGAACCATTTTCTACCACAGTCGACTGAAGAACCACAGGGTCACAGTCTTCTGTATGAAAACCTATCAGGAGGTTGTTGTTGTTCCTAAAACCCTGACATCGTTTGTTAACCTGACTGCAACGAATGGTTTTATTACACAGAACTACCTGGGATGTATTGTTAGAAACTGTTTGGAAAAAACTGTGTCTTTTCAAAAAACTACCTGGCAGGTGATTAGAGGAAACATCGCCCTATCGCCACCTATCGCAGGCAAACTTCAACAAATCAGATCAACAAACCATACAACAAATTCCAAACTTTTACATTCCATGTAAGCCTATCCTGGACTTTTCCACCAGGAAGCTTAGGGCTGAAAACAAACAGTGCTATTTTGAAGTACACACAGAAACATCAGTGTCAGCCCATAAATTAATTCATCCCAGGATTAATAAACTCAGTTTCCCCACCATCAGTGACTGGCAATGCGGAATTAGTATTATTTTGTATTATAAATATATATTTTTTATATGTATATCCTATTCCCACATCCTATTTAAAGAATACTGTAAAGGTCTAGATATATAGAGATCAGATCATCAGTCTGTGCATTTGTTCTACTGACTGGTGTTTTTGTTTCACTGTTCAAGATCAGGATGTGGCAGCTGAACTGGATAAACCCCATTAAATCTCTGAAGGTATTATAAATAATGCTGCGGTTTGTCTTTACTCGGATGTTGAGAAGAAGTGAAGGGAGGATGGTTGTGCAGAGAGGTACACAGTGTGAGGCACAGGGTTATTTAGGTCAGGTTGTACTGGCAATATGCAAGTGTGTGTGTGTGTGTGTGTGTGTGTGCCTGTACGTGTGCGTGCGTGTGTATTTTGTAGCATCCGTGTGTGTTTTTTGGTGGAACATCAACCTATTAGCTCATTGGTGAGGAAGATATGAGCTAACGTACCTGCTGATAAGTTACCAGTCCAATGAAAAGAACACATCCCTCCCTTACATTCCAGCTGTGTGTCTTCCAACTGAGCAGTGATAAGAAACGCTCACCCTCACTTTCACTTTTCTTACAGTAGAATTAATCAGGTCAAAGTCAGTTTGGGGGGACAGTAGCCACATAACAGTCGCTGGTTCAAAAAGAAACACTACTACAATACACATGGTAAAACAGAGGTGGGAGGGTAAACTGAGAACCATCCTTCGCTCACTGAACAGCTACTGTCTGAGAAGAGTTAAGCAAGGCACTTAAAAAAAGAGATTGATGTTGGGCTATCACACAAAAAAAGACAAACAGTGCAAACATCAAACACTTTGTCAGATGGAGGTCATTAAAAAAATATATGATCACAGATTTATAGATTTATACTCTCTTTAACTATTTTATGGTCTCATTACTAAGAGACAAATGGACATCTGACCTCAGTATACATCAATCTGACATCTATTGGCAAACCATACGCAAAAATGTCTCAAAAATTAAACCAGCCTAACTTAGTACAAGGTCCTACACATCACTGGTCACTAAATGTATCATATGGGCTTCACAGACAGCGATACATGCACACTGTCCCACTGCATTAGACAACCACTTCCACGCATTCTGGCTCACCAGTTGGGTGGTTTTGGTCGGAGGTCATGGGAAAGCTGGTTTTCGGGTTTAGTTTAGTCATTTATTTATTTTATTTTGTAATACTCACCATTCCTTGTGTGTCTTATTTAACTTCACTTCCTGTCTTTGTCTGATTCTTCCCCAGTTTTCCCTGCCCTGATTATTTTCACCTGTGTCTAGTTATCTTCCCCCCTCACCTGTGTACGTTCCCTTGTTTCAGTGTCAGTTCACCCTGCTTGCTTTGTCCCTGTGTTGCCTTTTTGTTTTTTCACTTTTGCTTTACCTGGACCTCTATCCGTCTCCCTGGCTGTTACCTGTCTCTCTGCCTGCCTGTACCTCTGTATAAGCTGCATCAGTATTAAGTCAGCCTGCTGCCTGCTGTTGTCTTGCATTTGGGTCCAATCCTGTGTTTCCTGAGCCGTGACAAAAGCTCCCCCTCCATTTCTCTTTTAGGCAATCTCTCCTAATTTACAATCC